TGCTGACACAGCTCCCTACTTGAACAGTTTAAAGTAGCTACTTAAGAAAGTGGACATGTTCACACAATTTTCATCATTTAGACATTGGGAAGTAAAACAAAAATTAATCCATGTTCGTCAAAAGGGGTAAAATCCAAATCAATGACATTCACATAATTTTTCATACACCTTTACATCACTATTTGGATAGATTTTGTTCTTCCTTTACAACTTACATTGTCAGCAGTACCAGTCTTATGCCTCCCCTCAGTCTTGCATGCAGCTGTAGGTGAAACTTGAAATTGGGCTATAATCTGTTGATAGGAGTAGCCTTCATTAGCCAAAACTGACTTCTGTACTGGTCATGTGAGATTGACACTGTAGTATTTCATTTTTACAAAAATCGGTTTCTAATACCTCATTTGTATTATGTACAACTTTATCTTTTGAGTCCATGATTATTTCCAATACGGTAAGTGTTAAGCATCTTGACATTTATGCTCCTGCATGCTTTATTGCTTATATTAGATTGTTTATGCACATAGTCTTGTCATTTGATCTTATATAAAAGGTGGTAATTATATAATGCATAAAGCTTATTAAAGTATTAATGAATAATATTTATGCATGTGAATCTTTGTGACTTTTTAAAGGGTGGCTAGTCTTTGCTATAGTCATATTTGACAACAAGGTTGACTGCCTCATTCTAGACGACGTTCCTTAATGGCTTACAATCTGTAAGTTCATTAGGAGTGACCTTTATACAACCATTCACCATCCATCATACTGAATGGAGTTGGTGATACCTAGTGAGGAGAGGACAAGCAGGGCTTTTTGCTGCATGCCAGAGGTCTGAAGAGTTCTTCAAGAAATGGCTGGATGAGATCCTTGAATGAATTAGCTACTCACAATTGAGCAATCTGAATGGCGTCTTCTCATTTGCAGTCTTTTTAGGTTCTTACTGGAGAGCTGCAGGTTGCATCAGAATCAGACAGCAAACCACAAAGACCACAAAGAGGGCAATTGTGTGCTTAGTGCCAAAATGTTGAGTTGAGATTTTAAAGATGTGCTGTACAGCATATGTACCATATTGATACCTCTTATCGTCAAAACCTTAAATGGCAAAATCTACTGTATGACTGCAGTTACAAGGGAAACACAAATATAATTGCATATCAGCTGGTAAAGTGACCGGAGTGTTCTGTACAGTATCTTATGGTCTAACACACTCTCTGGAAATAATTTCAGTGATTTTAGATCTGATTTCAAATCTTCAGAACTAGGATGCTTGCAAACCCAAACAGTATATTCTAACTTCACTTCAATGCTTTCCTTCATCTTTGGAACTTACACACAGTTGGGAACAGCACATTTTATTTATGTCTGGGCTTTATCACATTTCACTGCAGATCCTTTGAAGCATTCACTATAAGATTTATGTTTCTTATATGTAAAATGTTAACACTCTATTGAGAAGGATGCTGCTGATTATGTAGCATACCACATAGAGAATTTACATCACTTTTGGACTGACAGTTTAATTTTTTATTACATTTTCAGATGCACGCTTCAGATGCTAAGAGGTTCAGAGAACAGCACTGGGTGAAATGGGAAAGCTACTAAACTGGTACACTAATTTTAGCTTACAGGAGGCCAAAAGGTTGCTGGTACTAGAAGCACTTCAGATTAACAAAGCTTCAGGGCATATTATTATACTAATTATACTGTTACAAGTAGTAGCAGTAGTGTAGTACGGTAGTAGTACGGAAGTGTAACAAATTAAAAAATAAGATTATTTAATCAGTATAAAAATTGGGTTCTGACAAACAATTGCCAGGCAAGCAAAAAAGTAAAGACTAAAAATATCTATTCAGTCAAGTGAAACTGTGGTACGTGGTCTTTTATTCTACAGCACAACTTGATTATAAAGTAATAAAAAGGCCCAAATGTTTATATACAATATTAACACTAAATCACACTTTTCTACAACACATCATTTATAGAATAGCTACATTAAGAATCAATATTTACTGTACAATTCTTAAAGTATATCCTTATAATCTGAATACAAAAACCATAGAAAGAGAACCTGCATTCTAATCAACAAAATGGATGCTCAGCACAACTAAATTTCCCTCTCTAAACAGATGCTCACAAATGAACAAGAACCAATTTCCCTATTCTATACAGAAGCATCACTAAAATACTAGAGTTGTTTTTAGCCTATGGATTCTGGTACAAAGGAAATCAGAATTTCCAAATAAAATGGCCGCAAAACCTCTCAAATATTAAAGCTGAGAGTTCAATAATCTTTCAGGGCTCATATTACCTGAACATAACCTGGTTTCAAATCGAATTTAAGGATGATGATGATATTATTCAGTCTTCCTTCTTTTCTTCACTCTGTATATCTGCTCCTGTATGTATTCTGTCCTGAAACATATTTTGTCCTCTTGTCCATGAGACAAGCTCAGTGACCCCACTAAGAACTTTCTGTGGAATATATGTTTTATTAAAGCTGTTTCAAAGATCCAGCAGGGACTTTTTCTAACCTAAGCTAATGAGTAGGACCTCCAATTGCCTTGGTTTCCATGCCATTAGATCAAGGTCACATTCTGTCATGGTGTGTGAGGAAGCCAATGTGTGACCGTTTCGCCACAATAAAAGACACGCAGGTGCCTTTCATCCCCAGCACATTCAAATTTCTTCTTTCTCATCTAGGGACTAGGAGCAAGATAGAGATGTTTGGAAGTTTAAATGACATTTCTTCATTTTTTTCAGGTCATTTTTTCCCTTGTAATAAATCTTTTATTAGTGTACAATATAAACTATTAATGTTCTGTGTGCATAAGCCAAAAAGAAAGAATGTAAATAAAAATGGGAGTCATTTCATCATGAACCATTGATGGTATCAAAGTATATTTGTTTTCCCTTTTTTTGTCTACATTAACACTGTGAAGATACAATTGTTCAGACAATAATGCTTCATTCAACTGCTGTACCAGCATTCAAATGCTTTGCACCAATACTCCAGCATAATTACCTATGATAAGATAAGCCCTATATTCTTAAGACAGGATGGTCAGGCTGGAGGCCAGGAGAGATGGCGATTAGCTGTGCATCTGCACTGTCCAGATGGCTGAGTGGATTTATCACACTGTGCCCCATTCCCAGTCTCAGGGCAGCGGTCTTGTTTGCTGGAGAATTACAACAGTGCTGAAACTAGACACGAGTGGACAGAGACAGAGAATCTGTGCAGCTCTCCTGGATGTGAAGTAGCCAGAGTGGCCAGGTAAGGACTGAACTAGTCTGTCTCGTAGGGATCTTTTGTTTCAGCCATGTGATTAGAATCTCAAGGCTATCATGGAAGCAGTTTCCCAATGATAAAAACTTTAAAAGAAGTAAAAGCATTGGTGTAGTTCCATACAGTAGTTCTCCATAAAAGGAAATATGGTTGTAAATGCTGAGGTACAGTACAAGCCTTGTAGAAAGAGAAAAACTACAGCTCCTGCAACTGCTATTACAGCTCTTAGAGCATTACCACAGTCTGTTGTTTGTACATTTGCACTGTACTGTAAAATGTGAATGTGCCTGTGTCTTATATACTGTATACTGTAATGTCTACATGTTCCATACCGTGAGCACATATTGTGACTGTGTTGTGACTCCCCCATCTTTTGTATATTGTCCAATGTAACTATGTCATTAATGTTAATGCTCCTTTTGCACCTGTGTGGGTTTTGTGTTGAGCAGGTGCCAAATGTACCAAGGCAAATTCCTGTATCTAACACATACTGGCGAATAAAAGCGATTCTGATTCTGATCGCAGACCATAAATTAAGAAGAATAAGCATGTGTGGAAATAGAAAAATCTGACAATATATTTTAAATTCTTAGTCTATTGCTGCTTTCAATAAATGAGAATGGTAATTCATTCACACTTATGCGACAGAAAAGACTAAACCTAAAGAAGAGATAAGTAATAGGTTTATTCCATGCTGAAAAAAAGAAGAAAGAAAACACAACGTTAACACACCTGAAGAAGGCTCCACGGCCGAAACATTGTGTTTTCTTTCTTCTTTTTTTCAACATGGAATAAACCTATTACTTGTTCCTTTGCAGCCTATGCATGCTGATGCAGCTACCCACCTGAACTACTAAAGAAGAGATTACAGTTACCATTGCCATTTACTATGGCAAAAGAGGGGAAACCATATTAACATGCCCTGTAGTCATGTATACTACAAAAATATAATGGCCTACATCTTACAGAAAAAGGAAGGAAAAACATGGAGATTTAAGGGTGGGGGGACAGTGAAGAATGGAAGACAAATCTTGCTTGTTGCATGTAGGTTTTAGACCCATCGAATTATTTGGTGAATGGTGCTGTGGAATGCTTGAACCTGGTGCTGCAGTACAGGAAGGTGAAGGGTGAGACGAGTGTAAACCCAGACCAGCGTTGATTGGAGTGGGGCCAAGGCCTGACTCACAGACTCCTGGGATGGCTGTGCTGCTCCTGTTGTGTGCGCCGGCTCTGCTTCTTCCAGCTCTGACTGCCGTCCAGGGTCATGAGTTCACCTTGTACAGGATGCAGCAGTACAACCTGCAGCAGCAGAAACACGGTAGGAAACTCCCCCTTTATACACAACCCATGCCTGGCATCATTCTCCCTGCTGTCTCCTGTCACAGGGGGCCTTTTGGGTCAAGAGGAAGAAATGAGAACTCCACTCCAAGTTATTACAGAGGAGTTTGGCTGTTAAGTGAAACCAAGCATAGATTACACATGGCCTGTAACTTCATACATTGTGCTGAATTGTCACCCAGTCTATAAAGGTAGATCTCCTATATTCTTACTATAGTAGTCCAGTAACTACTCAACAATGTTATTATTCTGTAAGATTCTTATATATTGTAACGCAACGTGGGCTTAGGCGGGCGCCCTTGCCGCATTAGGTCGGCCCCCCACTGTCGGGGGCTCGAACCCGGGACTCCCGCGTCACTCAGCAGGGACCCAGCCCAGTGAGCTAAAGAGAGATCTCTCCACAGCCCAGGGGCTGTGGTCTTGCTATTACTGGGAAGGGCGGTGACGTCACCTGCTCTGGTACGCCGGTTCTTACACAGTACCTGTCGGCCGTAAGCGTTACAATATTTAAGAGGAGATTTCCATGTGAAGTTGGAATTGAGTGTGCCATTTACAGTAAGTGAATTTGGCACAGTAAATTTAGGTGGTATTGTTGAACTTTCGCTGGCATTTAACATTTGTATAACATGTCTTGATTTTGCATTGGCATGGTTTCTAACAGTTTGTACAGTATCACTATTTTTACCATGTTTTCAGTGTGCTTTATAAAACTTCATAAAAGTGCTGCAGCACTAAAGAACCCCAGAAGGAGAGCCCCATCAAAATGTGTAAAGCTAATGGTTTACAAGGCCAATTGACTCAATCTTCCTGACAAAAAACAGCTTCCCATGACTGTATCCATGCTGTAGAGGACAAGCTGCATTACAGACTTGCTGATTGGTGATGGGTTGGGTTTCACTGATGGTCACACTGTGGATTATGTTGTTCAATGCTATGTATGCTGTCTGACACTTAGGGACCAGTTTGAATAGGCAGCTGTTGTTTGGATTGGGAAGGGTTTAAATTGAGATTAGAGATCTAGTAGAAGGTTATCATAAATTGGAGGTAATGCTTAGATTTTAAAGGGGCCCCTTGAATTTGCTTACTGTGCATGTGGGAAGGCCTGGTTTACACTGTGATCTTGTGGTGGAGTACTTACAGAGACAATGAGCCGATACCTCAGCTATATGAATATACTGTATATATAGTTATATTATGCATTTTATATTTATATTTTATATACTTTTTATTACACGCCTGTGATGTGTTAACAACTATTGCCCCAGAAATGACGCATTGACATCAACAAACCATGAGGTTTACTAAAATGCATTTATGAATAATGATTATCCAATGCGGGGTGACACTGTAGCACGGTAGTCAGCGCTGGGGCCCTGTTTGGAGTTTGGAGTTTTTCCCCATGTTCATGAAAGTTACCTCTGGGTTCTTCAGTATCCTCCTACAGTTCAAAGGCATATAGTACTGCTAGGTTAACTTGCTTCTGATAAAATTAGCTCTAATCTGAGGCGTGTTTGTCTGTGTGGTCCCTTTGATGGACTGGCATCCCTTCCAGGTATAGCCTAGGGTTCCCCCACAACTCTAAATTAGATAAACATATCGAAAATGGACGAATGGATTATCCAATGCACAAATAGTGCCTAAAATGATTTCATCCCCTCATACTCAAGCTGTAATGAATGATATACTGTTGTAGAGTCCTTTAAGTGTCTATATCTTGAGAAAGTAAAATAAAATACAGAAATAAATCCAGAAAAAAGTTCTAGTTTTAAATTTATTTGGACTTATCGACGTTTTTGCTTTGTTATTTACTCCATTAGTAATGATAAAATAGATATGACCGATAGATGCCTATATGACCTGTTTGGTGGTGTTGTGGCCTATCTGAATTTGGTTCTGGTTCCTTAGGTTGTCGTGGAGCGCTAGTGGTAGCTGAAGCCCGCACCGTGGAGGAGAGGGTTCTGACTCGGCGGTGTGTGGTGATGAGGCTTGCGGACTTCACTCTGGACCGGTACCAGGATGCCCTGAGACACAACGCAGCCTCTGTTCTCATTCTGGTGCCACAAAACATCTCATCTGTCCCTCAGGATGTTATCCAGGTACAGTATTATAGATACCCCCCACATCACAAAATTATAATACAAAAGCACTCTGTTTATGGACCATGAAAAACAGTACTGCACTGTCCATATCAGGCTATTATACACCTAGATATTACAGATACGAGGAACTGGTAATATATTGTTGTGTCAAACGAATGACAGCAATTCGGGTGTCCGTGTAGCAGAAGTCTTTTTTATTACATATGCATATGGGAGCCTAGCTCTTGCAAGCCAGGCTCAAAGAATTATTACAAAGAATGGTCTTTATATACAGCAAAGTCTCTAAAACCTGTCCATAAAAGGGATTTGACATTGGCTGTGCACATGTCAAATCAGAGCAGTCAAGCAAGTTCCTAATTATTTTTGTAACTTTGCCAGGAACATATGGCAGTTATGCCTTGCAACATAATGTTGACAATTCAGTATATATAGGCAAAAGCAGAACTACATACTATACTTTCACAACCATTGGAGTGGAAAGTTACAAGATACAAGTGTATAAAATATAAAAGACTTATACCTAAATTAAGAATATTTCCCTCAGTATTGATAAACATACTTGTCCATATTGTTTTAAGACATAAAAAGAGAATCACACTAAGAGTATCAAACAGATCTTTTTTGTTTTAAAAAAGTTTTCAATATAACAAATCTTCAAACCAAAAAAGGAGCTGATTTAGACTAATTAATCATAAACCAAAACTTGCCCATGAATGAAAAATGTAATTTTAAAATGAATAATTATTGCAGCTCTACCACGCACCCAGACAGTTCTCTACAAAAAGATTTATAACCATTTACAAATCATTTAATTTCATTTAAAACCTGGAGCTGAGAAAATTGCTTTTCTTTCTGTGTTCAAATAGACATGGTCTATGTATGTGCTCTTCTTAAAATGTCTCTTTAGGTGAAATGTACAACAGCATTGATTTATTTACTGTATAAATACAAAGGATCAAAACAGATCCAAGGCTCAGACTCATTACTGTACTTAATTCTCATTACCATCAAAACATGCTGAAATATTTGGGGATCAAAATGAAGATACAAGCATCTTGAACTTTGCATTCTATCCCAAATTAACACCTTTTCATTGGAAAACATGATTGAGAATTATTTTATTAAAATTACCAAATGAAAATCCCTAACATGCACTTAAACTTAATAAAGTCCATTTTTGCATGGGCAAGCACACCCAGTAGGCAAACTGAGATGCTGCAAGAACTGATAGATACTGTAAGTGAGGCTTTACATAAACTTTATAAACCAATTATTTCAAATGAAAATGCTCTATGAAATACAGCATATCATGTCCATGAGCATTAGGTCAAAAACATTTGACAAGAAAGCTGACATTTTTAAAACATCCTATACATCTGCAGTCATCAATGTAAATTGTACAGAAATCAACAATTGTACTGTATATGTTCTGTACCTCTCTCTCTCTGCAGGATTACTAAACATGAAAACAATATCACAGATTAATGTAGTTTTCCATAAACTTTTTGTTTTCATTAAAACCAAATAATCAAATTGAAAAATTCAACTCATCTTAGATAAAAAAAAATAATTTACATGTTAGTCCACAGAATTCCTCTCTTTACCACACAAACTCTATCCTATATCACCCAAAAAACCTGAAATACACCCAGCTTCTAACATATGAATTCAGTCACCTTCTGTGTTCTTGCAGAGGTTCATGGTGAGTGAGGCAGAGGTGGTGATGAATGACACTCTGATGCCAGTCTATGCTGCTATGGAGGAAGAGGAGCTGCTCTCGATGTATGAAGAGATGAAGGCTGCCTCTCTGGCACTGCAGTCCTCCTCACCTCTGCAGGGTGAGGCACATTAGGGACCCCTTGAGGAGATCCTCTCCGAAAACTGTATTCCTTTCATGGAGAAACTTCCTCTAGTTACCCCGAGAATCCAAAAAAGAGAAGAGGAATTTCCAAAATCATAGTTGTTTTGATAACATTAATCTTTTTCTAAAGGAGTATTCACAGTGGTGTCAAAATGACATTGTAGAAAATGTCAATATCACTGCATGTAATTTCCACAGGCTTCCTGCTGTATCACTGTCAAAACAGAACATTTTCCATTGTGCTCCTTTTCAATATTTTTCCTTTTTGTACAGATGCGCAATTCTGTGACGGTCTTCTTCAGAATTCAAGCCATATTGTTTTAAACCACAAGTTATTCCTGACCTGCATTTTGTACTGAGAAAATGTAGACCTAGAGTCACTGGCTTTGCAGATGACAAAGTTTACATATTAGCTACTATAACTGTCACCATGTTATATATAACGTCACCACTGCAATATAACGTCATATTCACTGCTCAAGTGTAGTTTACTTTGGGTTGTTGTGAGCGCCTTTTTCACATTTCTGTGGTTTTGAATGTTTGTGATGTTTCTGAACACTGTGAATGTAATATTACTAAATTACATTTTTTCTCACTCAGAGCTTAATTAAAAATCAAAGTTGCTATAGTAGTAGGTAGGCTTTCAGTAAATTGTTGAAGCTCATAAAATACATATGTTATGCCTTATGATGGTGTCTAAGGTATCTACGAGTTCCACAGCAGTGGATATAACTGTGTTCTCTCCTTCAGTCCTTTCCAGCATGGTCACAGCAAATGGGTTCCAGATATTTGTTGGCAGTGATTTTCCCATCAAGCCCATCAGTGACACAGCCTTCATCACTCTGGAGGTGAGATTGGCTGAAAATTGTTGTTTGTGGACCACATTCACGCATCATGTTTGTTAATTATTCTCAAGCATAGTAAGTACCTTATTTTGGGGAAAAAAGTTAATAAGATCAATAATAACCCAGACCTTAGCTTCCAGTCACTTTTGTCTCATTTTATGTTCAAACCATCCTAAGTCCTTTCACAAGGCAATAAGTACTACAAAAGTTGAATTACTGTAAGTAGCACTAATTTTTTTTAATAAAAAGTGAGCACATAATTAAAACATGATACCTGCCTGTGCCTACATTCTCATTTTAGATCAATAAAATCTCATTTTTATTAATTAAAAAGTTGAATTTTCACAGAACGTTGTAAATTAAAAAATGTTAACTGTAATTAACATTTTAATTTCTGATCTCCATCCATCACTGTACAGGAACAGCCTGTAACAATTACTTCAAGAGACTAACAGCAAGGATTGTTAATGTGTGCCAAAGTAACTGCAACTGATTCTCAGCGTTCAGCCGAAGACTAACCAACAGCTGGACAATTAGACAGATATAAGTTACACATGAAGGTCCCAGAACAGAACATTCTATACAGTACGTTTCAGGACCCACGCTGGTTCCATCAAATGCACTTATTTTACTGTATGGAAACATTGTGAAGAGCTAAAGTTATCCGATCTACTAAAATACAACCATATACAGTAGCTGCAGCTTGCAAAACATACGGAAAAAAAACATACTTCTATAAAACCACAGAAGAACTGGATTACTGTTCTGGAGAGTATTGTGAATGCACAGAACAGAGTTTGCAAAATAAAATAAAAAAACACTCTTTTAGCTTCTGAGAGCATACTATGCCACAAGTCAACATGAAATTGAAACAAAAATCAGACGTTGTGGTCAAGTTACAGAGTGATAAAAAGTTTCTGCTACCTGACCAGATAGATACAGTAGATCTTGGTTTTTAACTGTGTTACAGGGAGTTCTGTTTGGAACAGGAGAGGACCTGCCCACAGTTGTCATTACAGCTCATTATGACTCCTTTGGGATAGCGCCTGTAAGTCACCTTTAGGTCCTGTGTCTAAGCTAAATAAAATATGGCTTCTCAAGCCATTGTATAGGTACTGACTACAAAAGGCAGTATAAAAGGATTTTTGCAAAGACCAGAATACTGCTATGAAATAAAGGAACAGCTGACATATTGCAGATAGTTCTACTTTTTGGGTAACTGAAAGCAACATTAAACATCATGGGGTATTCTAAGGAACAGAAAATAAGTTAAGAGAAAAAAAAAAGAACAGCTTTTCTCAGAATGGAAGTTGTGCTGCTAAGATTTATGAGAAAATATCTGTAACAATGGGATTTGGTGCCTCAAGCAGATAAATCAAATCCTTCTGGCACAAGGATGACTGTTAATTACCCCAATTAGCCTTTCACTGCTGGGAAGCTGAAAAGGGCATTGTCAATTATCTCAAAACCATATTGTACTGTACGATTAGGAATATATTGTTAAGATGCCATTACATGAATTTCTACATTTTTTTAAGAACCTAAACATTTTCATACAGTGTGGCATTTTCACAATACTTGTTAGGAATACTTTGGTTTAAATTATAATTCTTTTGTAGTCCTCAGGCCACTACCATTGTTCTGTACTGTACTGTATACTATACCTATACTGTACACCAACATTCCAGCTCTTTTTCTTTGTCCTACAGTGTATGGCTTGAGTACTATTTTGAGCTAATTTTGTCACCCTCTGTTAACTGGAATTTACTTCAGAAAGAGATACAGTATGGTTTTGCCAAAACAGAATAATAAAAAGGTCAAAAAGAACTTAAGTAATAAAATGTGCATACAGTGTATTGTAAGAAGCTGAATGTTTAAGACAAAAAAGGCAAAGCAATGTTATAGTACAAAGCAAAACAATATGTGCAGGTTTGCTAAATAGATATCACAGTTTTCGGCTTTTTGTGCTTTTTTGACTGTATCGGTACAGGATGACTATTACACCCACTGCAAAAGTAGATTCATGGTTGCTTATGAACAATCCCAATTTTATTATCAGAATCCTGTATTTTATAATGCTAATTTAAAATATAGTATGCCCGGCCAATTTCTGAAATGCTGAGAAGTAGAAATACCTGTTTTGCTTGCTGTGTAACTCTGTGTGCTTGACAGTGGCTCTCGTATGGAGCGGATTCCAATGCTAGTGGCGTGGCTGTTCTCCTGGAGCTGGTCAGACTCTTCCACAGACTCTACAGTGACGCCCACAGTCAGGCCAGGTAAATTACACTGAGGCCAGAGGGAAAGGAGCTCCAGGTTGAGAGTGAGAGGGAAATGTAATAAAAGCAATGAAGCAGTCCTGTAGGTGTCAGGCATTGCGAAAGGTAGGGAAGTGGAGATACAGATATCAGAGAAGTGTAGGTGAGGGATAACAGTGAAAGAACAGGGAGCGAGAGAACATTTTAGGACAGAGTGACTAACATTAGAAATCACTTTCAAACAAAAAAGAACAGTGAAGACAAACCTACAACAATATGTTTATTTTTTGTCTCAGGTACAATATTCTTTTCTCTCTAACGGGAGGAGGGAAGTACAATTACCAAGGAACAAAGAGGTGGATTGAAGAAAATCTGGACCACACAGGTGGGTCAGGAGGCGGTGTGTGAATTGTTTAAGGGGGACAGAGGACTGGAATTGGGGGGAAAAATCCATTGAATTTATTATTATTTAAGGAGGTTTTTTGATTAGTTTGTTCCTCTGTCTCCAGTGAAACTGGTAATTTTTCATTTGCAAAAAACTCTGTCCACATAATAAAAAAAAACACAGTTTGGGATTTTTAGAGATTTTTTTTGCTATTGTGACCCAGTCTATATCTGTGAGTTCCAGAACAGTAGTTAGAAAACATTACTATATAGAGGGAGATGCTAACTGGTATTCTCTGAGACAAATGTACCTTTACCAAATATGAAAAAAGACCAAACTGATGCATGAATGCCCTCTGTACTGTGTCTACAGAGTCTAGCTTGCTTCATGAAAATGTGGCCTTTGTACTGTGCCTGGACACATTAGCCAATGGTGAAGGGCTCTATCTTCATGTATCCAGACCTCCGAAGCCTGGAACAATACAGCATGCTTTCATTCAAGAGCTGGATCAGGTAAGTCTTGTGCTAGACTGAGTTTTCTTTGTGTCCCAGACTGACACCAGTTTTGAAAGTCCTATTCTGGATGTGCTGTCACTTTCACAGGAGAAAGATATATGAGCAATACTGTCTCCCTTGGATTCTGTGGCTACCACATATCCAGATGTGACAGAATTCCTCTTTTTTATTTGGCTGACACTTACAGTATATCCAAAGCAACTAATATTTTTAACCTTTTATGGCGAGACCAATCATTTTCGAAATGCATTTCTCAAGTCCCAAACTATAGAAATGATCCTGGTATTTTACTGGAACTATTCAGGCAAAGTACAAAAACACCAACAACAGTGTTTTACATGGGATTCAAACCCACAATCTTCTAGTTATAAGTGTGGGTACCCTGCCGCTGCTACACAATGTTGCCAAATACTGTATTGAGTTGAATATGATCTAGGAAACACCAATAGATTATTACAGGGTTAATATCTGATAAGTGAGAATTCTAAAATGGATTTTATTTGAGTTTTGATAGAAAGTTAACTCTCAAGCATGTGGAATAAGAAAGTAATATGATACTTACATTAGGTGTACCTACTCTGTCATTGATATTGTTCTTTATGGGATTTACAGTATACAGGGATTTGTGCATATTAAAAAAAAAAACTGTAGAAACAAAAGGCCTTTGGCCTCCACAGCTTTGATCCACATGGTTCAGGAGTTTCTGTTTCACTTGAACCTATCCGAACCAGTGTGCCATAATCATTCTTCTCTGTCCAGCAATGGCAACTATTTAAAGACTGATAACACCTGCCATTGACAGCAGCCATTGAGTCATACAATTACGGATTCCAGGCTAGGTCTACCCTTTCAGGTAGAGTCCAGTGAGTATTTCTCCTTTTTTTTTTCTCTCTGGAAGGTGATATCTTCCCGCTTCCCTTCAGTGAAGTTCGGAATAGTCCACAAGAAGATTAACCTGGGGGAGCGGGCGCTCTCCTGGGAACATGAGCGCTACGGGATGCGTCGCATTCCTGCCTTCACCTTGTCCCACCTGGAGGATCCCCGCAGTGGGCTGAGGGGCTCCATCCTGGACACGGTGTGAGTCTCAGCAGTGGCTTCTCCTTCCTCCTCCTTCACAATGGAAGGAGTAATTCTTTAAATACTGTGGCACCTGTCAGATCAATTTTTTAAGTTTGGTTCAGAAGTATTATTAAGTGTTTTTGCTGTGGTTTCACTTCAAAGGTAAAGTTCTTCTAACAATATTTGATTATTAAAAAGGTTAAAAAAAACTAAAGTACATAAAACCAAAGGTGAGAGAAAAGTGACATCATAAATACATTGTGTACATTTATATAATTTCATAAATATATAGTTCTTATAGTTTAGTCTATATAAAGTACCGTAGGTAACATATGAAGATAATTTCTTTACTCTTCTAATTGTCTTTCAACTAAATTAATGCGTTTTTAAAATCTAATTTTGTTGGAACAGTAGCCAAAGAATTTAAGTCACTTCTCTGGACACTTTTTTGTTGTCCAGCTGAATTTCCTATCTTATTTTTACCAGACAAAAAGTTTGTCTACTTTGGCTTTGTAAATTATCCCAATCCCTAAAATCTGTGTTTGCTTGGTATTTGTTTGTACTTAGGTGGAGGGTCGAAGTACAAAATTAGAGAAGGAATTAAACTTTGCGATTTACAGTAGAAAGTTTTACGTTTTGTGTGTATGAGTGAATCTTGTGTCTTGTTCCTAAGGACCCAGACTGACATGAAGAAACTAAGGCGTAATGCTGTTATAATAGCAGAATCAATGGCACGATTCATGTACAACTTAACTAAAAAGGTACAGTATCTTTCCTTTTTGTGTAGAATTAATTTTAAAATACAGTATGAACAAGATGTGCTCATTATCTAAGATAAATATATTTAAATACTGTAATGAATAGGGGTGCGGTAATTAAAAAGTAAGGCGGTTATTCAATAACAAAATCAAATAAGAATCAGGTCCAACTACCAACTTACTAGGTACTGTAAGCAAATAATGAAGATTAATAATTTCACCCCCTAAAGCCAGGGATTTACTGAGCATTACACAGTGCAGTATGTGTGCCTTCTGCTTTCCAGCACAGCTTCATAATCAAGTAATGTCAAGATCCAAACTTTAGAAAGCACTAACATTTATCAACAATAAATAACACAACGTTACAAACACGCAACATTACACAGCATACAATGGTTACAAAAATTAACAGGTCTGTGAGCTCTAGTGCCCTGTCTTTTACAGACATAGGAAACATAGAACACTGTACTATCCTTTTAATCTAAATACAACACAACACCTTAACAGGTGTTGGCCAAAGAGAAATAAAATGCTTCCTTATAAATAAAATACTTAACCAGGACTAAATCTCCCTCTCTAAATAGATGCTCACAAATGAATGGTGACAAATTTATCTATTCTAGAGAAAGGCATCACTAAAATAGGAGAGACATTTGTCGATTGAGGATTGGACAACAAAGGGAATCAGAATTTCCTGGAACAAATAAGACAGTAATCTTTAACAAAACTCAAATGGGTCGAAACCCATTTAGATTACCTGGGCAAAATCTGTTTTCAAGCCTGATTTGAAAGAGGTACTCCATCACAACACAAATGTCAGTGATGATGATGAATGGTGATGATGATGTTCGTTCCTGTTCTTCCTCTGTATGTTCCTGTACTTTTCTGTGGTCCATTACTATGGAGACCAGGTTACAGACCTCATTAGGAATGGCCAAACAGTGAAGTTATTTAACCCAAATAAATGAATACACTCATTTAATCAGCTGTACCTTTTGCCCTGTTTGCTTCTCTACAGTAGGTCCTCAATAACCCCATTGACAGCTATTGCATACTTCATATGAAACTAGCTCTATTTAAATATCTGTCTAAATGGATCAGTAGGAGTTTCCATTATATTCATATCCACCTGTCAATTCTTCCATTTCATGGTGCATGTGGTACCGTACAATGAAACATTGTTTAATTTAAATCTGTTGCTCACACAAACGCAAAGTTAGAGAAAATGTTTTTGGGGTTATGCCAGACTTATAATTATAATCACACTGCAGTGATACACATTTTTTCAGCTTTCCATGCATTTAGAATGCAGGACTTGAAGTAAGCTTTAATGAATAAAAAAGCATCTCTACTAACCTCCCACTGGTGTTCAATTTCATATTTATTTCAGGGTTCCCCAAAAGAGCTTCCTGTTTTCAGAGGCCACATGGTAAGAAAATCATGCAGTTCTAAATAACAGAACAGGGAATACAGGAATACTATCAAGAGTTTAGGAATTCTATGCTGCTGCCCTCCAGTGTTTGTAACATGCCATTAAACCAGTTATAGCAAATGAGTGCAATCCATCTACAGGATCTTATCCCATCTCCTGTTTTTGGAAGTAAGAAAAATACTTTAATCTTTGCATTTTTTGTCATTATTTGTAAGCTTTGTGTGTGTATTTAGTATTCTTTTCCTTTCATTGTTCTGATACATTAACATATTTACATAGTGATAAGATCACTAAACTAAACTTTGTTTTCATTCCTACTAAATTGTCAATTGCTTAACACCTTGCCTTTTTTCAAGAGCTGAAAAAAACTGAACAGGTCAAATCACCTGATTATGCAGTTAATTAACAGCTAAATTAAATAGAGTTCAGAAGGACATAACACCAGAAAAGACAAGGTCTTTCAGATTGTGTGTCCCCACTGGATGAGCTTGTGCTAACAAGGCAAGCGAAGCCAGTAATAGAAATATTCTGGCTTCCCAACATGAAATAGAAAAATGAATGTCTCTGCTATCACCTGACGGCATCTGACTGTGCTATAAAACAAATTTCCCACATAGGACAATAAAGCTTAAATTGAATTGACTATAGATAAAGTATAAAACACTGATGTGATTCAAGGGAATAATAATAACTGTAAAAATAGTACAACATCTGTATTTTCACAGTCCCCCAAGTGCAAAGCAAACATTCGTTGTGGTAGGGTGCTCCTTCATAGCACAGGTACTGTGTCTTATGTGTTAACTATGTGTTAACTATGCTGGCAGGTCATTGATTGGCATTAAGAATACTCATACAAGTAAATGTTTTAAAAGCTAAGTTTGCAGAATTGCAATCCTTTCCCAATAGGTAGGAATTTTGGATTGAGTTCTTTGGGCAACATGATGAAGTGAAGCTTTAGCTGACGTGAGTTTAATTGAATTTTAATTATAGAGTTGGTGTTTAATGATTTAACAGTCTAAATTTTATAATCTGGACTGCTCGTACTGTACAGTCAGGACCACGAACACAGGATTCATTTTTAAAGATAACAGGCAACATTCATGTTATTTTAATTTGTTCTTCATTCTGCATGATCTTCGGTTGTTCATGTGAAGTCATGGTTGTGCCCTTCAGGAAGGGTTGTGTCTGTGTCCCTTGCAGGAAGTCCAAGAGAGCCGCTTGTCCTCCCTGATGTCCTATCTGTCCTCTGTGCCACGTGCCTCTCAGCTCTTGGACCGGGAGCCCAGCCTGCAGCTCCTTATTTCCACACTAGAGCATGAGTTCAGCCAATATCTCCAGCATGTCCAGCGCCATGTCTTCCGCACCGACCGAAGGTATACTCTTCCAGCTCCAGCCACTGGACTAGTCCAAATAATGTTATACATTTGCAGACGGTGGTGCACTGCTGAGCATTGCTGACTCACAGTGCTGGGACCTTGGGTTCGATTCTGGACCTGGCAGCCCCAGGAAAATTGTCCCTGATGCAAGCGTGTGTGTGCTTGTGTCTGTGTGTGCCCTGCGATGGATTGTTGTTCTGCTCAGTGTGTATCCTGCCTTGCTGGGACAGTCTCTGGCTCCCCTGAGACCGCTTATTTGAAGAAACAGTTATAAGATGAATGGATGGATGTGCAGATACAGTACCTGTATAAAAGAAGAATGTTTTATTATAGCTTTCTATTCTTCTATTCCATCACTGACAATGTACAGCAGAAAAGCTCAATAGAACACACATGGGGATAAAAGGAGGACTGTCTTTTCTTTGGCTGTTTACATAATTAAATCAGGCTTCCAAAACTCTCTGGCTGAATTCATGGATTTTGATCGTATAGCATGACAGAACTAACTCACCTCTTAAAATAATGAAGTGTTACGACGTGCCTGAGCACAAGACTCAGCTGTAGTGATGATCAGGTTGGAATCTAAGTGCTAGTGATCAGAGAGTTGTGGAGGGTTCTGATGACACCTTAAGGCCTAGTTGTCGAAGCTCTCCAGAGACACCCTAGGGTGCAGTATTAAGTGGTTGTAGAAGCTGCAGCAGAGCCTAGCAGAGATCTGCTAGTGATGGTAACAGTCACAAGTGAATCAAGCTGCTGACTAACAATATACCGGCACTGCCATAGAAGTCACAGCATAGGCTGGAGACACACTGGTAGCGTCCATTGCAGTTGCAGCAGAGGTAGGCGGCCAACTGAAAGGGGCTGCAGCAGTCACTGCAGGGGAAGGCTGCTGACTCGATGCAGACTGGCGTAGGTGAAGGGTCTGCAGCTGGAGCCAGGCAAGCAGAATGAGGCAGTCGCCCGGGTGCGTGACAGGAGCCGAGCTGCTCAGGGTGCGCACTCCTAGGCGATCATGCTCCAGAGACCAGGCCAAGCGAGCTGTCAGGACGGACTACAGCAGGCAGGTACCGGGGGCCAAGTACTGAGGCTGAGCAGTGCAGTAACTGGCTTCAAGCTTGTAGCAGATCGAAGTAAATATACAGTAGGAGTCCCAGCAAAGGTTGGCTGCTGACTTGTAGACCCTGTAGCTTAATTGCAGGCTGATGTGAAGACTTGTTGCTGGCTTGCAGCAGACTGGAGTGGCCGTAGAAGTCACAGCAGAGATAGGCTTCCAACTGAAAGTGGTCTGGTGAAGCTGTAGTGTGGTCAGAGCAGTACTGCTGCTGGAATTACAATGATAGAGACATTCCAGGTTTAAATAAGAGGTGTGCTTAATAGAACAATTGGGTGCCCGATTAGTCGGGAAAAAGGATGGACCAAAAGATGATGGGACCGCATCCTTTAGCCACAGGACAACCATGATTTCTTGTGGGAATGCTCTCAGTCTCCCAGGGCAATCATGGGCTACGAACCCCTGCTGGCCTATGGCATAACAAGTGTTCAGCTTTGTCTCGGTCTTAAAAATAATTGTGCACAATCTCAGCACAACCCAACAGGGTGAGTCATGTGTCTGCCTCTGTTGGCTACTTTTACTTTGTTTTCATGGTTATGCTACTTCACTGTTTGAGGGCAAATGCAGTATAGCTCTGAAAGTCAGGCTATTTGAAAATTCATTTCCTGGAAGCTGTGAGAAGATGTAAATCATAGAACATAAAGACATTTAAATATTCCAGCACTTCCCATGGAGTAAGTGAAACCCACATCACTTCAGGCTGTCATAAACATTGTGAATGTTTTCACTGGCTCAGGAATATGTTTTATATACAGTACTATATATACTAAGGCAAAAACCTCAGTGACACAATTAAAAGGTTATACTTCCTGTTTTAATTATTTATTTTTATTATTCTAGGGATCCAGAAGTTGTGTTCTTTGATCAAATGAAACAAACCATGATGATGCACAGGTCTGTGATTTCAGATGGATCTTCCTTTAAGCCTATGTGCTGTCTTCTGATTTTATCTAAAGTTCAGAAACATGGAATGCTGAGCCCTCCTTATGATATAAGAAAGGTCACAGAGAAATAGAAGTAATTTGGTATCATGGATTGAGACCATAAGGTCAGATGTGCTGGTCCAGTGTGATCTAGTGACATTGTAGTAAGTTTCTTTGAAAAATATATTGAATTGATAGTGTGAATATGCAGTTTGTTCCACATTCTCACCCTTGGCCTCCACATTTAAATTCTTGAACTTCATTGTCTTGTATACAAACATGCAGACTACACTGACCCTTCTATAAATTCTCTTAAACTGCACTTTTTCTTTGAGTTATGATGATAAAGAAGTAAGGACTCCCACTGGGCAAAAAACTACTCACAGTGTTGAGAAAGAGTTTTTTGGACTTTCAAAGAGAATTATTAATCAAGGAGGTAGAGTCAGCAATTATCAACTGAGGGATTCTTTATGTACAACGTGAGCCCACATCCTCATTTCCCTACGATATTTGCATTTCTAAAACATTATATGAACTTCTGAAGAAGGGACCTGCTACTACTTACAGTACGTAATGTGTATATGATGTTAGGTGTTACATGACCTATACTATCCATGACCAACTACTAGTAGCTACTAGTAGCACTCTTTGTGTGCAGCTGACCGATTGCTCCTAGTTGGTGGCCTCAACTATGAGCAATGGTGATTATTATTACCATTGGTAATTATTAAAGTACGTGCTGTGCTGTTATCTGCAATTTTTATACGTTTTCTTCTTATGAAAGTTAGCCTTGTTTGTGTTTCTTTTTTTCTTCTCTAAGAGTGAAGCCTGCAGTGTTCGACCTGTTCCTGGGTGCCTGTATTGCTGCATATCTTGGAGTAGTGTATTATGCCATACAGGTGAAATTTCACTTCTTCTTTAGAAGTTCCCTTTTTATCTTAATAAGTAAAAGGAAAAAGGTCAGGTTTTTGCTATTCGTGAATCAAATAGCTATATTGTTCTAGGACAAAACACAACATTTATTTTATGCTTAAAAGACGAGTAGATGTGTAGATTTTAAAATCATTGGGTTAATGATGGTTCAACATATTGTTCTGACAGAAGTCCAGGAAGAAACAGAATTTAAAGGAGCAACATTACAATGTATTTTGATATATACTCAAACCAAAACTAAACTAACAAAACTTTCAGAGTTACTTTGAAACAAGACAGTTTCATAATAGGCCTCTTATTCTCTTTATTCTGTGAACAAGAGCTCCTGCCATTCCACTCAAATCTAATGTTTTATTAACTAGCGTTGTAACATTGAGTGGCTACGGATAACATTTTAGCTAAGTTGAATTGCTGAAAGGCATAAGCTTTTGTAGTGTAGAAAGTGTAAATAGTCCTGCAAATTCTAGACTCTAGAATTTGAATATACAATATTTGCTTGGAATGACAAACAAAGTCTGAGTTACTGTATGTATTAGAAGAATTAATAGGTGCAAACATACAACAAATAATTCACAATTTTGGAGACAAGTAACATTTTCCTTCATACATAAAGCAGATAGTTTCACGGACTCTCTTATACACTTATTGTCCTTTTTTGTCACATAAAAGATATTGAGAAGAAGTTACAATACATTACAAACTTCAAGATTGATTCTTATAAACTGACTGCATACAGTGGATCACTCTTAGTCACTAGTTTTGCTTATTTATAAAATGCAGTTATTACAGAAGCATTCAGATGGACAACACCAGATGGAACTTCCCCTCAAAGGCAATTCTGGTGGATCTGGAAATTACAGAGAATTAGTCTGATGTTGTAATGACTCATGTGGTTAGCTCCCAAATAAAACAAATATAGGGAATCAAAGAATAACAGTATTTTTTCCAAATTGATCTCAGAATTTAGGACACATATATATGAAGATCACGAAGATGGCTATGAACCCAAAACAACAGTGAAGCCCTGATTCAGCTGGAGCTTGGAAGAAGCAGAAAAGGCACCGCTAACCAGAGAGGAAGGCCTGCTGTGGACCAGAGATACCTTAGAGCCACTGACAGCTGCCATTAACTTTAGAGTTCACTGTTGTGATACAGGAGGGACAAGCACAGCGAGGGATTTCCTTTTCAATCTAAGATTTTCCAGTTTTTGTCAAAATTATTGTTTTTATAACCACTTTTTTTTAAAGTGTCAAACTCTAAGGTTTCTTTGTCTGGGATTTGATAGAAAATCGCTATACAGTAGTTACTGTCCATGATACTGTATGTCGATATACTATATGAGGTAACTGAGGAATGCTTAGGGAGAGATGTGTCTTTACTCTTGTATTGGAGGGTATGAACTATCGGAGGAAACTATTTAGAGCTGTTTATTAAATGTGACATGAAACAGAATGATGCGAATGCTGATAGAGAAAATGAAAAACTGCAACTTAATTAAAGAGAATCTTGGATTAATTTAAGAGCTTTTTGGATAAATTGAAAAATTCTGTTCATTATTGTAGTCTTCATGGTTCAGTTCAAATGATGGCAATACTTGTCTTTAGGTGGTGCATTAATATGAGGCATTAATGTATTTAAGCCCTATTGTATTGTTTTTAATAATGGGAAGTTGCCATATACTGTAAACTTGATACTCAATAAACCTTTTAACCAAACATTTAACACTCCCTTACAACTCATCATTTAAATAATTATTTACATATGCTGGGTATTGTTCAATATTGTTGGACATGGTTTTTGGTAATTAATACATTAATACTTTACAGGAAGAAACTTTTTTGTGTGTGCAAAAATATTAGATTTATTAGTGGAGCTGTGCAGTCTTTGACCAAAATTTCTCAACTCTGACGCATGACCTTTCAGATCTGCACTGGATATCAAGGAAGAGAACATACAGTAGTTAAATGAAACTTCAGTAATATTTTTAAATAAGGCATGATGCAAAACACAATGGACATTTGTTTAAACACTTCAAGTCACTCTGAATAATGATATTTAGTATTAATAATAAACTAGTAGAGCCCCCATGACACACATTATGAGAAGTGCATACTGTACAGGTGCATGCCTAAAGTTTCAAAAGAAACCTAAGATAAACACAGTGCAGGTTATGAGAACAGACAACCTGTAAAATAATCTCAGAGCAAAACCAACAAGCACAATTGTGAGGAGAACCTGAGAAAAGAGCTGTGCCGTGCAGTGAAAAGGGACACTTTTACTGCAGCTCCTTCCTATTGTGTGTCTGTCGGTGCCATATCCGGCTTCATTCAGCTTGTCAATAAAGAGAACGGGACCTGCCAGACTCCGGAGGAGCCACAGTGGGTGTCTGATCTCTGAAAACACCTGCATTATTGATTCCCCGAAATCCGCTTGCATCTCCTCAGAAAAGAGGGAGGTGGAGATAAAGGGATGGACAGAACAATTAGACTTTACTGGAACAGTAGCTGAATGACAAGAGTGATGAGAAAGTAGATAAAGGGGGTGAATGAAGGACAAGTTTCCAGATTTCTTGCTTTTGCTTCAGTCCAATTTATTTTAGATTTAACTAGCATAAAAACCCCTTTACTGGAGTTATGCCAGGGAGGTTATCAACCACAAACCCCCCCTAGAAAATCACAATGAGCTTTAAATATTCTTTATTTTCCACAGATACCGTAGCTCTTAAAATCAAATGATTGTTTTTTTTTCAGAAATTTTTACTCTGTTTAATACAAAGTCAATTATCAAGGTTAATAGTTTACTGTAAAAAGGGAGAACACATTCAAGTTGAATAGGTCTAGTTTTATAAAGAGAGAGGTACTTATTTGAACATAGTGCAGGAACCAGTTCTTTCCTTATCCCGTTTACTGACATTCAGCTATTGGAAAGTCTTTTCGGGTCCAATTCTTATTGATTTATTTGTCTGAAAGGCAAATGACATTCCCAGGAGAAAAAAATTGAGAACTTTTCTCCCTATAGAGCACAAATTAAATTTCTAATGATTTAATATGCATTTTTCCTTTGCCGTTTTCTAATTTACTGCCTTGCTAAGAGCTGTCCAATTACATTAGTAGGAAGACCGGGGGAGCTGCCTCATTGTGCAGGAGCAAATAGGGGTTCAATCCTGGCTGAAATGTAAAAGGAACTTGAATAAAAAAAACACTTGTGTGTGTGTGTAAGGAAGACTAGGAAAAGGGTCTTACAGTATACCTGCCCTCTCCCTCTCTTTACGCATGTGAAGGATGCTCCACAGCTGAAGTATTGTGTGTTTTACTCTCTGCTTTTCAGTGTGGGGGTTACACATGAGTTGGATGCTTAGTTAAGGGTGAATCAGGCTAGTGGCCTTCACAGTCGTCTGTGGAAAAACACGTCCCTCCCAGTTCTGCCACCCACTGTGAAGAGAGAGAGAGCTGTGTTCTGGGGGAAAGCGCACAGTACTGCCTGTGCTGAAGCAGTGCACCAAGATGCATTCCACGACTCTGTACAGCTCCCGCACCAACATCAGCACCTATATGGAGGAATTCACGCCCGTGGGACACAGAAAGCCGGTCGAGGCCAGACCTTCGTCAGCCACTAGGAGGAACAACCCCCATCCCAGACCGGTAAGGACGTAGAACAAACCCCTACGAGAACAGTTACCCAGAGTCATCGGAACTCAAGAAAAACGTTCTCCTTTTCTTCTTCTTGCTCTAGTTAGTTCATCATCATTGATGGGGTAAAAAATCTGAACCTGTTCTGTAAAAACAGGTGCATATTTAAAGATCCTGTATGAGTGGAATGTTTTCATCTAACACCAATCAGAACTTTAACTGCTGTGCATGACTGCATGTCAGTCCTATTAATTGGCCCTGCACTGAAGTACATTACATTCACCATCAAGGTCTTCATAAAGTTAAAAATGATCATTTCTAGTTATATGCACCTATATTTTGTGTTAATATTGTGATCTTAAATAGGAAAGCTTGAGAAATATGCTCTCAGGATGTTTTTATGATGTTTTTACCTCACAACTCTCTCCTCTATGGTTTGTCAATGCTGTATCCAGTCATAGTGGAGCTCATCAAGGAAAATGAGCAGTTGGTACTGTCCACTATTAATGTACTTCTCAATAGACTTGCACTGATACTACAACTGAGTGATTTATCTTGATATCAGGCAACTGAATGAAAAGGGTTGTACAATAGCTTATGGTACTTAGAAACATCCTAGGTTCTCCCACTCTTGAAGATGAAGAATCAAAAAGAATCTCTAATACAGACATTAACTTTTGCAAGCTAGCAATTTTTTTTCTATTTTTGAAAATGTTCACCTCAAATACCTAAGGATAATGTGATTATTGAAGATGGAACGATTTATAATTCAGTTTTCCTGTATTAGCCTTACTTGTTAATGGTATAGACTTCCAGTTTCTTTGGGAAACTATGCTGCAATAGAACCACTTTTGTCTGAAGTTAAATTATCCCACATTTGTAGTTTACTGTTCAAGAAGAAATGTTTTAGGTTATTGCAGACCCTAAAAACCATATATACTGAAGCAGAGTGTTATTGTAATGCAAACATCACTTTCAAACACATAATTACTTACCCCTTTCTATGTCCCCTCTGTTTTTAAATATAACAGAATGTTTAAAATGAATGTAATGCAGATCCTAATATGGCTCCCAGCAGACACAGATTGAGAAAAGTTTAAAACCCAGCTTCTGAATGTGACAATATGTTGAAGTTACATAAACCTTGCAAAAATAAAAAGGTGCTTAAAGTAAGGATTTAAAACTACTTGAAAAACAGCAGTACAATAAATTGATGTGATTTTTAATGTTTATACTTCTAATATTTTCTATATTTCTACAGGACTTTCTGTTGCCTAGGAGATTGCAGAGTAGCCAAGCCATCGCTCTGAACAGAGTCAGACAGCTGGTTCAGAACTATCTGCAGGTTGTACGCCCTACTGACCTCAGCCTGCTCCCTATAAACTACGGTACCAGCCTCTTGCCCCCAGTAAAATTCAACTTTCTCACACAGAAAGGTACTGCTGTTTCTGCTATAACTGCTATTACCCTTACTACTTCTGCTATTACTGCTAACATCCCCATTGCAAATACTATCCTAGAATTGTTACTACTGCATCTGCTATTGCAGTTCCTACTACCCTGCTGTTACTATGCCTGGAACTCCTAATAATGATGATGTCATTGCTCAGATTTCATAGTACTTAGCGATATGAAAGTAATGCCACAAGAAAGGACATAAACAGGGAATGCTTCTCTAATAAGAACTAGAATTGATGAAAAACTGCAGTTGTGTTGTTTGCTTTTACTGAGCTCTTTTCAGTATGGTGTTGTATGACTCTGGTCTGGACAGAGCTGGTATAGATTTATTAACTATAATATAACAAAATACTTTCAGCAGCTGCAGTATGTGACAATGTTCTCCAGCAGTATGAAACTAGACTGTCTTCATAAATACTGTTGAAGAGGGTTAGAGTACAGAAATGTAAAAAGTGTAGGGATTATCAACATCTTACAGCTTTGTATTAACTTGACATCAGCGTAACAGTTCCTGAAATGGTCTTGCTTTATCTTTTGAATATGAAATGTACTTCTGCTCTGCTGTGATCTGCTTTATTTCTAAATGAGATCCTTTTTTTTTGTTTGAATGTTCATACATTTCAGGAGTGATCCCAATCCAGCAGATCCTATAAATCACTCTTGAATCATCAATTTGCAAATAATTGGAACAGATGTTTTAGGGTTTACAGTACGTACGTTAATCAGTTAAATTAAGTTTGGAATGAGCAGTTGTGATCCTAGAGATTTAAAGGGTGTTGTCATATTTCTCTCCAAACACCCTATACATTTAAACAAATTACCTGCTTAAGTTGTCAAAATGAAGTTGTTCCAAGTGTTTGGAAATTGATTAAGGGTGTGTCTCTTGTGACTCTTGACTGTGGCTGCAGGATCAGGATTATCTAGCTCTGATGTACTGTATATGCTAACAGTAAATAAAGCAGCTGAGAAGATAATGCAAAATTTAAGTACTGTTTCTTTTTCTTGCACTAGAGAGCAGATCTGCTAGCATCATGAAGTCCCATACCCCTGGATGTGTCAAAGAACTCTTTCCACAAAAGCCACTTTTAGGCTCTGAAAGAGGGTGTGGAAACTCTTCTAATGTCTGGCTTTGCAAATTGCAAGAGCTGCAAACCCTGGTCAAGAAGCAGCAGCCCAAAGCCAGCCTGCACAACTTGGAGAGGTGTGTCTTCCAGCAGCATTTTCAGCTGCATGTGACTTCAGCTCTCTCTCAGAGAAAGACCATCATGCATTGATCATAGATGGGAAGAGAGAGAACAGTTTTTTTTTTTCCTCAAGAGGCTCAATTTTTGTTTCTCCTCCCTGGAAATATTCTTTTCTCTGTCTCTCTTAACCTACTGTGATATATTTATTACTTATGTTACAGTTTGCGCTCATGACTTTAAATTAAACAATCAATTTTTTTTAAATTATTATGAAACGTTTTTCAGTACCCTAATCATATCATACTCTGATATCTACTATCAGTGTTACATGTACAAAGATATTAACAAGTTGATGGGATATGATATCTCTTTCCTACATTCATACTGATGATGAAAGTGATTAGATTAGAAAGTGATTATCATGGGTGGTATTTTAGCTTAACTATTTTTTTCCATAGCTTTCAATTCATATCGTTTTATAAAATTGATATGCAATTACTGAGTTCAGCCTCCATTCTTGAAGACTCTGCTTTCGTTTAAAATCTAATTCCTTAATTTCTTTGAGTTTGGCTAGAATACGTTTGTCTTAAGCATTTCTTTTCCTTGTAAAATTCTGTCCTTTGTTTTGCTGGTTTTTATACCTTTGCATGTTTGGGTAAGTACTCTTACAATTGGCCTTGGGTGAATGTTTTTTCTTTATTTTTTGTTCTTTAAATTTCCCTTTAATGAGCTCTTTATCCCAGTAGTAGTAATAATAATAACTAGAAGGTGAAAAACCACAAGGAATAACAACACCCAAGAATTAAGTGCATTGAAAGATTTATGGAGTCTTTTGCTTTAAATCCTTGGCTGGCTCCGGGGTTAACCTGCTAGCCAGTGGACAAGGAAGCTGGGAGCTCCCTGCAGAGTGAGGAGTGACCAAGGGGCAGCTGCAGAGCTGGAGATGGGGTGGAGGTGGGATGCAAAAATGAAGATGTATGTACTTGTATGTATTATAGACAACTGTGGCTAATGGAATTGTTGTGATCCCTATAATAATAATAATAATAATAATAATAATAATAATAATACATGCATTGTCTTTTTCAGAAAAATACCAGTTGCTGAGCCCATGAAAATAACACACAATTACTGTGAAAACACACACAACAGCTCTTCTAACAGGCTACCACAAACACACGTCTATCCCAACAAATTTCTTCGAGAGACAGCCCAAGACTTCAGGTAACTGTATCTTAAATTAAACTGGGTACGTTCTTCAACAACGATGACTGATATTTAGTATTTCGTTTGGTTAAAAGAAACCATGCGATGAATGGGGGGCATACCCCCTTCCTCAATCCATCAGATGCGATCTCTTCAGCGACTCTACCTTTCAATAGTCTTGAAGCCTGCTCCACACTGTAGCCTTGTGTGGTTTCCATATCTCATCTAGGTTAACATTCCCAAACAGAGTGAATTCAAACCTGCTGCATTATCAAAAACCATTTACATTTCATCCATTCAGACTTACAAAGAAAAAAGAGGCTATGCTGTGTTTAGTACCTTCCGAAGTGACTCCGTGTTTGATATTTCTTTTATACACTAAATGACAAATGCTTATGTGGACATATGAGACCAGTAGGAACAATGGAATGTTTTCTTAAACTATAAGGAATGTGAACTACAACACATGCTTTTTAAATGTGAAATAGTAAGGTAAAATGTTGTGAGCTCACAGAATCATCACATATCACTGTATCAGAAATAGCCTGTTGAATCGCTCGAATTCACAAATCTTGAGTACTAGAACCAGAGGCAGCACTCTGTGGAAAGGTGACATAAAGTTCTTCTGTTTTCCAGATGTGATTACAGCTGCTTTCGAGTTGTCAAGCAGTCCCAGCCTGGACACTACGTCATTCATCCAGAGTTTGTTTCTGAGTCTGAAAACCTTCCTTGAACTGAATGCCAAGGGAATCTGGGCATTCCTTTCCCAACCTTTCCCATTCTGTTGTGAAGAGTAAATCTATTATACTGTATAACCATTAAAGGAGAAAATAAATAAAGTGAAACTGCATGGCCACATGCCTCAGCATATTATTGGCTGATCGATATAAATGCTTATCATATTCATATAAAACCATATGTTTTGGTACTGGTTCCATTGGAATTAGTGTAGCACGTCACTACTCGACACTGGACACCAGTTAGCATGTCACTACTAGACATCTTGTCCCACTTATGCTGTATTTATACAGATAGATGAGATCCTTAAGGACTGATCTTAAGTTATCTAATCTTAAGTCTGGGGGCTTTTTCTTTAATTTAAAAAAAGGCATAAAAAGATATTTAAAGTAAAATCAGAAATGTAGTGCTAACCACTTAGTCACTTATCAAGTTTCATTATGTTTGTCCAATAAATTCCTACAACATAGATCCCATCCCTGTTCTTAGAAGTCACGCTTCAGAAACCCAGATCCCCAGCCGTTCGGACTTCTCTGCACTTAGAACCCTTTTCTTACTTTTCTTACTTTCTTAAAATTTCATTTTATTAGTTTTAACATACAAAATTGAACAAAAATAAAGTTTTCACTCATGACAAAACATCAAGATTTTAAATATGAATAAGTATAAAGTCTATGAATTAACATACTTTTGCAGTTTGACAGGCAGGTACTGTAGGCATAGTGGCTTTTTCTTTTTCTCTTTCTGTATTGTAATGTCAGGTATTGTCACACAGCTTTGTTAAGTGCCTTGGGGCTTTGTTGCGAAAGGCGCTACATAAAAAAATAATTGAATTGAATATAATGCAAGGATGAAAGGGTGGAAGAGGAAAAATAATGTGACATTTGAAAACACAAATGAAATATTATGATTGGACAGTAAAGATAATCCGCCTCTCCCACTGTTTTTTCAAAGACCTCATTCTGGAATCACAACTGATACAATTGGTTACATTTTCCATCTCATAAATCTCTGAGACAATCACAACCCAGTTATTCATTGGTTTGAGGATCCCTTTGGGACTGTTGGAACTGTTCTAGAGGTTTGTTGTTCACTAGCAAAAATACTTTAAGCAGGTACAGTATTTATCCCCTCCCTCAGAACTCTTTTCAGTTTGTGTGACACATTTATTAAATTTATAAATTATTTATTGACATATTGCAATGAGGCATATCCTTTTTTTTAAAAAGAAACTTTAAAACTGAATCGATCTAGCTATAACATTTCAGGATTTTTTCCATGTTCTACTGTACGTCACAGACCTGAAGTACTGTACATTGTGCTTTTTTCTACCTTGCAGTTTGCATATCACCCTTTGCAGCTGGAAGTGAATATCCTTTAAAACTATGCCTGTTTTGCAATATGAACTTTGTGAAGAGAAAAACAATACGTTTCGCCGTGAATTAAAGGATATGTCAATCAGCAGTGTGTTTAAAATAATGAAACGCAACAAAACAGAAACCAGCTCGCCTCTTTCTGGAGCGTACAAACCGCGATGACTGGAAAATTTAAGCTACTTTCTGTGGTGAAACGCTTTATCTCTGCAGCGTAAGCACTGCGCAAAACATTATTATGAGATTGTTCAGCAAAGAAATAATTGTATGTAATCAAGCGTTTGTATTTTTCTGAAATGATGGGGTTGTGTGTGTCTTCTCAGACACCACACTCACACACCACAGAGACAACTTAAAATGCAGTTCAACACCAGCGGTTTTCTTGCAGGCTGATGTAAGACCTTGCAGTGCCAGAAGGTGAAGAATGATACAATGAATACCACTGATCCCTAACGAGCCCTGAAATGACAGGTCTGCAGCGAGGTTTGGGTACTGACAACGCTTTTTGAACGACTTAAATGGTCTTCTCTTCCTCACCAAAAAAGAATTTATTTTCATCTCTCCCCTTTATAATCCTGCGCTGAATGTTTTGACTCTTTCAGACTCATTAGTGGAGGGGAGGTAGCACTTCGGAAAAAGTTAAAGAGTTAAATGGACCAGAAAGTCTGGTTTCAAAAACACCAAAGGTCCGTGTTCGTGTATAGATTAACAGCATGCGAAGGTAAGGAAAGATACAAATTACAGGAGGTCATCTGACCAATGTGTTCGTAGGTGGCTTCTGCATTGTAGCAACTCTACACTTTGCTATATTTAAAAATCATCTTCTCAGTTTTGGCTTTTTGTCTGGATCTTTACAGTATATGACTACAATAACGTTCGGCATATCTAAAATTTAACAATAAGGGAAGTGCGACTACCCGTTCGATAAGATGCGAGGAAAGAACCTCAGATCCCAGAATGCGTCTGGTGGCCGTGCGCCTCCTGATTGACAGGTGAGGCATGCAATCATCACAGACCTCGAAGGCCATGTGCATCACGTTTTGTTTGCCGGAGGAGTTGGAATTTGAAAGTCTGTGTCAATTGCTGTGTTCAAAGGGTAAGTGTTGCATTTTGTTAAGAACAAAACGAGAAAACCGGCGCTGTTTAAATGCTGTATGTTTTTTTCTTCTTCTCGAGACCCTTGCGCTTAAATATCCGTTGTGTTTTTAGCGTCCTGAAAGTGCGGACCTTTGATAGGGGTGGTGGTTTGTTCAAGTTTGTTTTGCAAGTTGCAAATTGCTGAGTTGCCATTATAAGAACCTGGTCACAACTCATGCTTTTCGTTGCACAGTATTGCTCCAGCATTATGGGAGTGATACAGTTGTGATATAGCAAAACAGCGTTCTGGTATACCGAACCTAAAGCATGAAGTAATGAAAACTAACGTGAAGGTTTGGGGTTTAAGAATTTCACTTTAACTCAGGACACGGTTTGATCTAAGGAGTTTTGGAAAAGCCGATTTGTGTCTATTTTCTTGTACATGTACTGTACTTTACATTGTGTATGGTTTCGATTTCAATTCTTCTTTCGAAATATAGAAGTCTTTACAGATGTGTGTTCTTGCACATACAGTAAAACACTTCAAACGAGTGAGATTTTGTAGCTAGCTAGTTCTAGAGAAATGACATTTTCAGGCTACTGCTGCTGTAACCGTTTGAAATTTGAAGTCAACTAAAGGGGATGTACGGCCATTTCTCATACGAGTGTGAAGCATGGATAGCTACAGTTCAGTTCTAACTTGACGTGAGCAGGCGACGAAAAGAGATATTAAACTCCCTCGATCCGGAACAGTATATACAGTACACAGCTTTTCTGAGAAAAGGTGCTGAGAGTTTCTTCTCTTCCCACAGCAACTGTAAGCGTGTTGAGCAACAACACAGCCTGATAGCGAGGTGTCTCGCATTGGTTGGCCATTAGAAGTGATTGTGATCTTCAGATTTTGCTTTTGTCCTTGGGAGTCTTATAATTCCATTGCCTTAAAAAATATGTGAATAAAAACACAAAACGTCATCCGGCGTTTAGGATGTTTGTAGTAGAATAAGCTAACCAATACTCAATATACTGGTTAAGGTTACAATTGCTATGTGATGTTCAGTCAGTGGTAAAAAAAAAAATCAAGTAATGAACACATTAACATGTTAAGCTTAGTGTAAAGATAAATTTGGAAAAACTCAAGGCTACAAAATTCGAGGTCAGTGCTGAAGATGATCCACCTTAAAGTAACCAGTATAACCTTTATATCCTTCAGCTTTTTAGCCTCTCGAGAGCATCTCTTTTACAATTCTGTTTGCCAAATGTAATGTATTCATTTAAAAAATATTGTATATGTTGTATGTGCGCTTCACTATTCTACTGCTGGACCGAAAGCACATTCCACCAGCTGATGTTGAATAAAGAAAGAGTTCTTGTCATGTCCAAGCTACCCCACCCACCCCCCAAAAAAGACATGTCATTCTGTTTTCTAGTGTCCTTCTGTTGTCAGTCCTTACTTCTTGAAACTGTGTGCCTGCTATATGCCTGCCAGCAGGGTGAGACATCGTAATGGGCAGAGTGAAGTAGTGATGTTTTCCAAGGTAAAGGCCAAACTACAAAAGGAAACCATACTGCAGGAGCCACAGAGTCGGGTATTCGGTGTCTGTGCGTGGCTGAGGAGCCAGTGCTGCGATGCTACCAGCTGTGGTATTTCAACTGAATACCTTCATGTCAAAACCCCCTCCCTGTACCTTTATATATTATCTCCTTTATCTATTTAAACAACTGTAAGTCTTCCTAAGGCACACATTTGTTTTTCTAACATTTAAAATCTATCTGAGGTATAAAAATATGAAGTTGAGTGTTTTATGTATTTTTGTAATGGATACTACGGTAACCTCTTATGTCATGCTTGGCAGCAGCTCATCAGTTTGTAATATGTATCTTCGGCCATAGCTGACCTCATATATTATACTGTAATTAAGGAGCTTCTGAGTATGGGCAGAGGTATGAGACCGAAATCTCAAAATAAGGGAGGCCCTGTAACCACCAGAGGAGCAAAAGCAAAGTTTGACAAATGCAGTGCTGCATTTATTAGAGAAGGGGTACGTTGGTTTGCTGAAATCGGCAATGCTAATTTGCTAATGGGGTTGAACGTTACTAAGTACAGGCAAACAATTTTTGATGTACTGTATGTTGTTTGTCCATGTTTTGGAACAAATGTCTCAATATACAGTAGCTGTGAAAAACCGGTTACTGATTAATTGTTTACCATCTAGCAAAAAGGGAACATTGGCTATGAATATGTGGGAACATTTAGAGCTGATTAGGAGAAAATGAAGAAGGTTCATGCCTTGAGACACTGCTCTTATATCTCTTATGTCTTGTATTCTACATAATGGGCTGTGCACAACCTGTGACCAGGCCCCTGCTGTCTGGTCACAAGATAAGACTTTTGAGAGTAACACGTTAATAACCTAAGAATGGGGGTTATTGCAAACATTTTACTGCTGACATACAGCCATGACTTCAAATGCCTTAACGTCCTTAAAGTGCAAAAAAAAAAATGATGTATTTTTCTTGTGAAGAGGTTGGTTGAGTAATCCATAATTAATTTTTACACTTCAAAATCTACAGTATGTACAGTACCTCTATACGATACAATAAAAAGAAAGGATGATCTCCTCTGACATATCAACAATTATCTATTATCTACAATTATCTTAACATTGTCTATTTTACAACTGCAAAAATAGACATTTGACAAGGAAATTACTTTTTATAATTGTGCAGTTCAAGGCTTTACAACCACTTTACAGTTGAATTGAGCTTTGTAAATGAAATTTAACATATTTTTATGCAATGGCTTTAACTGGATTTGAAAATGTCTTTTTCACTTTGCTGGATGTCTGTTGCAGTGTGCCAAAGAAACCTTTCATTTCTACACTTAGTGTTTGTCTCCCCCGTCTTCTTAATTTGTCTTAATAAAGTGACTTATGTACTGTAATTTAAAAGTGCATCTTTTTGTATAAAGGTTGTTTGTATTGGGAAAAGTAGCAACAGCTCAGAAAGGTTACTCCATATTTTAATTAAGTGTGCACAATTACATTTTTTCTGCATTTGTTAAATTATAAGGAGCAAAACATGCTCATTGTGTTTTAGACAACACTGTTCTGAATTGCTGTCCATACAATGTGCACCAGTGCCCCTTGCATTTGTAATTCACAGACTCAGGATATGCAGAGGTATTTCAAGCCTATCAGATGGCACTTGTCTAAACAGGGAGATGTAAAAGCAGTTTTTGAGGATTGCTGACTAAGTGTTTTTTAGCTGTGCCTATCAAGGACGTGATACAGAAACAGATGAAATTTTTTATTTCAGGTTCATTTTATACCACTGCTCATCTTATTATATTGTGAAGGAACAAGTAATAGGTGTATTCCATGCTGAAAAGAGAAGAAAGAGAACACAACGTTTCGGCCGTGGAGCCTTCTTCAGGTGTTTTACATTGTGGTCAGTTAGGAACAAAAAAGTTCCTGTGCCGGTACTAACTGAGCTATTGACAGTGTTGTGTCCATATAGCACATTTGTATCCATGGGGCTGTTTCATAGCAATCCCTAGAATATCTAAAAGCATAACCAAATCAGTTCTAGATTATAATGATAATTCTGTAACGATCTGTATGAAGAAGACTGAATGTTGAAATTTTTCATTTTTAGAGTTTCATTGAAATTTATGGATTGCAGTGGATTTAATCAAGCAGATAAAATCCAAAATTCTGACAAATAATATACTGTAGATGTTTTATTCTTAATACCCATAGACTACATTATGTCTTTATAGTAAGATTATCTAGGACTGCTGTTTCACTGGACCTCTTTAAATTCCGGTGATTTTATCATTAATAACTATTTCTCACACCTGCAGTTGAATGTGATGTCATTGTCTTTCAATGAGCAATAAAGAAATCGCAAGTGTCTGAACATTTTTCACAATAAAAGATCAACTCACTGAAGTTTCATTCACAGTATTTCCTGTTTTGTGTCCTGTGATATTGAATATGCTTGAAAAGCAGTTAAAGGGCTTTTCTTGTACAGTATATATCACTGCAAGTCTTTTAGCAAATCCCCAATAAACTTCTCTCTTGCTTAAAGTGAAACTGCAATGCTATTTTTATATTTTGGGCTTAGAAAGAATCAGCATTGATGAGTTAATTACAAACCACAATGAAAGTAAAATGCACATAGTAATGTATAAAAAATATACATCACAAAAGAGACAAAAATACCAGGTATGTGCAGCGCCATATTTTGAGATTCAGAATGAGGCAACCAGCTTCTAGTGAGATGAAGCAGCCTTATTATATTGTAAAGAAGCAGGGGTGTGAATATATCTGTTTTAAGAATATAAAGTCAGTTATGTTTTTAGGAAATCTAAGCTTGTTGTGGTCCTCAAGGAGTCACTTCTGATAATATGAGCCCTGGCTTGCAAGTCATGTGTGATTGAGTAATAAGGGCCAGTACATTTCTGGAATGGACTCCCTGCAGTTTCATTGCTTGCTCCCTTCACAATAAATGTACAGTTTGAATGTCAATTTTATTAATGATTTCACACAATTTAGTTGTCTTTGGTGAAGTGATTTCTCATATGTATTAATTTATTCATCTCTTTACTTGACTGAGACAGCGTCGCTGAATTATTGAAAATGGCAACACAAGATGCATTCAGGTGAATGGCAGAGCATCGCTGTTTCCCTGAACCAGACTGGGTCAGACTGAACCAGTTCAGCTGAGTGGAAGATGCCATTTTGTCATCTAGAGTTGGTAGTCTTAGTTGTTTAGCTTCATAAACATAGAATACTAGTTTAAACATGATCATGTTTTTGTAAATCCCCTGGGGAAAGTGTCATAGTACGTGGATAATTTCTGCATTTAATTCTTGGTAGTGTCCCTACCATCAAAAAGCTATAAAAAACTTTATAAATATTTGCACAGTGCTGATATCATTATACTGTCCTGTAACCCATTACAGTAAGTATAATAAATCTCACTCACAGTTATACAAATGTGACTCATTGTACATAAGCTCGGAAAATTCAACAAATGCATCGAAGATGTAACAAGCCTTTATTGTTAGGGGTTTAAAAGTCACACGTGAATAGATTTCCTGGGATAATATTGGGGAATATTGCCTAATGATTTACAGAGTTCCTGACCAGTCAGTGGTGCAATGATGTATTGCAACTGCTAATGTGGTTATTGACTTCTGTTGTTACTCTCTCTCATGATCTATCACTGTCTCGCTGTCCAAGTCTAGTCTTCTGTTCATGTCCTTATACATTACTTTATAATTTAAAGCAGACCTACTCTGCTGTATGCACAGTATTTGTGCAGGGGTAACAATGCTATTAATGTCGTTAGTTCTGCTTTAGGTGTAAATGAAATTTGAACAGTTGAATAAATTTTTTTTTTATCCGTAAGCAGCATTACATCTGTGACTTCTGATGACTTTTTTTTTCTTTCAGGTTCATTGAAGATGGACTGTTCCGGCAGGTGCCGATCAGGGCTTCCAACCCTATGAAGACTCCCAAGAAGAGCTGAGACGAAAAACCTGCTGCTGCCGTGTGTTTAAAAACTGTCTTGCACCATCTAAACCATAGTGTTCTGCTGCTGGACTAGTTGAGGATCGTAGCCATGTACCAGATGGTGCGGGGGGGCACTAGCCCAAGCAGTCACACCCCAGCCAAGCAGAAGCAGGTCAAAGATGGGCGCCCCCTTGTGGGAGCGAGCGTGCTGGGCGTGGCGCTGGTGGTGGCAGCGGTGGTTGCCTGGTGCTATTACACTGCCTCGCTGCGCAAAGCCGATCTGCTGAAGACCGAGCTGTTGGACCTGAATCGCGACGGGTTCCTCATCCGCAACCACGCTGGAGTCATTGTCTTCCGCATGGCTTTCAGGTGTGTTGGCTGGACACCTTTCCATCCTCTATCATCTCTTTTTTTTTCCTTCCTTTCTTTCTCTTTTTCAGCCAGACAGTGGAGGCAGTGTCTCAATACTGTCTTCTGGCATGTGCTTTTCTGTTCTCCGTTTTCTTTCTTAACATGTCATTTTTTGTTCAGACCTGGTATGGAAATAATAAATAATGGGATGAATTTTAGGTTGCAGTGAATTCACCCCCTACCTCCTGCTCTGATAAGTGAAAAAGGAACTTATTATGAATTATAGGTGAATTGGATAATGAACCAATGCTTGTAACAATAGCCTGTTTGTAACAGAGATGCATTCTACTCTGTCGATTTTGACCACCAAAAAGTGGTCACCATCTGTTAGCAACCCTGCTTATAACAATTTTCCTACCAAGAGATGTGCATTGTACCCTATAGACGTTATCATAGTGGCAGAGAGGAGTGGAGAAGTGGACACTAACAGTTCAGTCAGCAAATAGGAGGGCTCTTAAGCAGTCATTCTCACCCTGCAGGATTTATTTTCAAATTATTATTTTATATACAGTACCTACACCAAGTGGTGTGGATATACACCAAATCACCAAGTGTGTTTGTCTGTTTGTCAAGTGTGTTTTGACTTGGGAGCTACAAATTCTGCATCCATGCATGGGGGAGAATAAGGAAGTGTAAGCAGACTTGTGCAGGAGGTTCAGTACGATTGCAGGAGAGGAGGAGTGGATTGGCTCCTATCAACAGCACTCAAAGGTTACAAGAACCTGGATAGTTGTAGGGATTGCTGTGAGCTGAGAGAGCCCTGGATGACTAACCCAGACCATTCACTCGGCAGCGCTCAGCCATTTACATTCTGCTGCCTGGGGAGTCCTGGTCACAGATGGCTACTGATGACCCAGGCTGGAACCCTCACCGCCTGGAGAGCCCAACCTCCCCTTGGAGAACTCACTTGTGTTGCAGGATTTTTGGACTGCTGAAGGCTCTGGGCTCTATATCCAAAATGTTTTTTTGCAGTTGAATCCTGATCTTGTGTGACGCATTTTGGGTATAGAACCCACTATTTGTAATCAGATACAAAGCTAGATAGATGCATACAATCTGTTGTGTATTGTTCACAGACTTAAGACGTGTTTGCGTGTTCTAAAGCAGTCGGCACTGTGCAATTGTTTTCCACCTGTGAATTTAATATTGCATGCAGCATGCAATTGTGATGGATAAGAATCACTGTGGAGGTTTAGATTTTGCATGCTCCTACCTGTAAAGCAATATTGCATGTACACAAATATGCTTAGATTACCTCATGGTTTGTATCTTTCCATCTGCTTGTTCAGGTTGTCCATATTTTTTTTTTCAAGAACACTCTTGTATACTGTAGCAACCTTTCTGGCAGAACTGCACATTTTGCAAAGTTTGTTATAATGAAGTTTGACTGAATTTGTTTGGCTTTTCTTTATAACTAGAACCTTAAATAATTTTTAAAAAATGTTCTTTACAGAAACTCGATTAATTTTTAAGGCACAGTACCTGACATATTTATTCTGACCAGTAAAAATGGTTCAGGTCATAACCATGCTTAGTAAATGTGCAACCCTTTCATGACTCCAGTAATAAACATCATGTCATGTACAGTATAAAAATTCATTAATCTGAAAACATAAAACAATCCTCCAGTTAGCCTGTGAGGTGCAATAGGCCTTCATTTAATTTGGAGTGAATTAAATTTGACAGATGTTCTTGAAAATATGAAAATTAAATTTCTTACCCCTGTTTTGTTTGAAAACATAACATCGTAATGAGATTTTCTGGATCTTTCAACTGTTAACAACCACAAGAGTGAGAAACTGAATGAAACGCACACATTTCTTAAGGTTGTTTTTGTGCAAAATATAGTAACTGTCTTAGTATTGAGCAAACTGCCCAGCTATGGTGTTAATTCTGATACCCTGGTTTCTTTCAAGGAATGACTGCATGACATCTTTGGCCTAATAGGCTACTAACTAATAGGGCTGGATGGGCTGAATGGCCTTTTAGTGTTTGGAACCTTCCTCATGTTATCTGTTCCCTCAGGTCTGGATCCCTGAACCTGGACTCGTGCTCAAAGGAAGGGGAAATTCTGAGCTGCACACAGTCAGATACTGGAAAATTGAACTTTTTCATCCAGACAGTGAAGCCCAAGGATACGGTGATGTGCTACCGTGTCCGCTGGGAGGAGTTTGTGTTTGACCGTGTGGTGGAGCATGCCATGTCCTACAATGGGTCGCACTGGTATGGAGGTGCAGAAAGTAGCATCCAGCACTGGCCCATCTCTATCTTGGGACAGCAGGCTCCCAAACCCTTTGTGACCAGTGATGTCTACTCCAATCGAGGCTATTTTGGGGGGATCCTTGAAAGGTACTGGCTGTCCTCCAGTGCTACTGCCATCAAGATCAACGATTCGGTTCCTTTCCACCTAGGCTGGAATGACACAGAGAAGACTTTGTACTTCCAAGCCCGTTATCGGGACACACCTTATAAGCCCGCTCTCGGCCAGCAGCCCTTCCCAGAGCTGAGCTACCGAGTCTGTGTGGGGTCTGATGTCACATCCATTCACAAGTACATGGTGAGACGCTACTTCAACAAGCCCAACAAGGTTCCCTCTAAAGACACATTCATGTACCCAATCTGGTCCACCTGGGCTCTACACAAGACAGATATAAACCAGGAGAAGCTTTTGAAGTACGCTGCAGATATCAAGAAGTATAAGTTCAACTGCAGCCACCTGGAGCTTGATGATATGTATACCAGCCGATACGGGGAGTTCGAGTTTGACCCTGTGAAGTTCCCAAATGCGACGGCCATGTTCCAGAAGCTGAAGGAGGATGGCTTCTTGGTCTCTCTGTGGACCCACCCTTTCGTCAATTACAACTCCTCGAACTTTGGTGTCGGCATCGAAAGGGGGCTGTTTGTTCGGGAACCAACGGGGCAGCTCCCTGCCATGGTGCGCTGGTGGAATGGCATCGGCTCCATCCTGGACTTCACCAACCCTGAGGCCCGGGAATGGTATGCTTCCCAACTTCGGGCCCTTAAGGCAAAATACGGAGTCGCCTCGTTCAAGTTTGACGCTGGGGAGACTAGTTACCTGCCCCACCAGTTCAGCACCCTGGTCCCCCTGCCCGACCCCAGCACCTTCACACGTCGCTACACGGAGATGGCTATCCCTTTCAATGAGCGGGCCGAGCTGCGCGTGGGCTACCAGTCTCAGAACATCTCCTGCTTCTTCCGCATCATTGACCGGGATTCAGTATGGGGATACGAGCTGGGCCTCAAGTCCCTCATTCCCACCGTGCTCACCATCAGCATCCTGGGATACCAGTTTATCCTGCCAGATATGATTGGGGGAAATGCCTATCCCAACCGCACAGACGGGTCCCAGAAGCTGCCCGACCGGGAGCTCTACATCCGGTGGCTGGAGCTCTCGGCCTTCATGCCCTCCATGCAGTTTTCCGTGCCGCCCTGGGAGTACGATAGCGAGGTTATAAGCATCGCACAGCGCTTCACCGCCCTCCACAAGACCTTGGTGGCTCCCCGGGTGCTGGAGCTGGCTGGAGAGGTGCTTGCCACGGGTGACCCCATCATCCGGCCCCTCTGGTGGATTGCCACCAATGACGAGGCCGCTTACAAAATCGATTCCCAGTTCCTCATTGGGGATGACCTCATGGTGGCGCCAGTGCTGGAGCCTGGCAAGCAGGAGCGGGACATCTACCTCCCGGCTGGCAGGTGGCGTAGCTACAAGGGCGAGTATTTTGATAAAGGGCCAATGCACCTCACAGACTACCCTGTCGACCTGGATGAGATCGCTTACTTTGTCTGGGTTCCATAGGATTCGGTAACAATTGTGAGGAAGGATTACTGTAATGCAACAATTAAAAGCTTTGGTTTCCAGACAGAGATTTTAGGATCTCTGTATGAAGCTAAGATTAACAAGCTGTTCAGCGAGACAAATAATACAAATGTCAGAAGTTTAAGTCTTATTTCCAGTTCAAGATTAAATGTTTGTTCTCTGATCTTTTTCTGTTACCGATATGGGACGTTCTTCACGGATGCAACCAAACTGACTTATAAGATTGAACTCACTGTTTCTCGTTAATGTATCAAGTCATTATATTCTGTGTCTTTAACATTGTGCTATAATTGTCATTCAATATTAAATATTAAAGGTATCATGCAGGCTGATCACATGGTGCCTTTGAGATAAGCCCAATGTGTTTATCAGCTAAGCTAATAATTAGTCTAGGTATTTTCTCTTGTGCAGAAAACTAGGTTATTGAAAAGGAGTCTTGATTTTGTGTGAAATAATTAAAAGCTTTAGTGAGGACCCATTGAGGAACAATATTATAGGACTCCTGAGGGATCCTCAGACTCTTTTGAAGCACAGGTTTAAGAAATATTGTACTCATTAAGATTTTTTTGTTTGTGTATGAGTGAGGTATCTGAATTTTCTTACCCTTTAAGGAGCTTCAGAAACTAAACTTTGTTGTTGCAGCAATGTAATGCACAAAATGCCTTATGCAAAAAACTTAGCTAATTTGCTTGTGCAGTTTCTTACAGTAAGGAGAGGTGTCGGTTTGGAATGCATTTAAAGCTTTTCTCACCAAATGATGTAAGATATTTGAAGAACCTTCTTCATCCTCTGATGAAGTGGAATGGTGACATGTTGCCATTCTTTGAGTACAGTTGGGTATAATATAAGCACATACTGAAAGGGACAAATAGAACTTTAATGTGTCATAAATGTTTTTAGAAACCTTCATTTTTCCTTCCATTACTTTAACAAGCACAAACTTTGTAATATAAATATATAATGTTTTTAAGTGTGGGCAAAAAATGTTTGGAAGGTTTTTATCACATGGTGGCATTGCCATGTAAATATATTCTACACCAAAGAGAAGTGTTTTTGTTAACGTTTGTTGTTGCAGTGGGCCAGGAGGAAAACAGGTGGTGGAGGTCAGCGTTCTCAATGCAATAGACGTAGGTTGTTTCTTTAGCCCTGTAAATTCACACCAGATTTGTTTGATCATGTTGACATGAAGTAACAGGGATCTCTGAAACATCAGGAGAATAGGAATCGGAGCCTATTAGTTAGTTGCAGCTGCAAAGTGGAGCTCTGTTACATTGAATACTAACCATTAGTGCCTTTGCTGTGGAAGAGCCATGCAGTGAGATTTTTCCCTGGCACTGCCTTAACTTTGGGCGGTTTACACTTGTTATATCTGTAGGATAAATTCATCTTTTCGCCACAGCAGCCTGTTTTGAATTTACATGAATCCGCACTGACAGCAGAATATGTGTCCCCAGTTCCGAGCCTTACTCTTTTAGAGGAGCACCACATGGTAGAATACTGGACTTACAGTACCTTTATGACAAACTCTTTCTGTAATATACAGGTACTTGCAGTCCTTTTGAGTCCCTGCGCATTGCAAGTGCAGCGTGTTTGCCGGGTTTCATTTTTGACGCGTAGCTGGCTTTACTGCCAGTCATGGATTTTGTTTTTAACTGAGTCATAACTGTGTCAATTTTGCTCTCACTTGTGCCACTGTGCAGTTCTCAGGTATTATAGGACATACCACATGCTGCGTCATTCTAATTGCTTTGGACAGATGTTGATTCATTTCACTTCAGCACTTGCTGTTACTGAAACTCTGTAGTATTACTGCAAAAGAGGTTATACAGTATATTGTTTTGTCGCTATTGGTCATATAATAGGCACTGAGACAGCACTTTCCTGTGTATAGTAATTATAGTGGATACCATCTTAAGATAACACCCTTTAACAGTGTATTGTTATGGTGGTGCGTCAGTGTTGGGACATAGTAATTTCACTCTAAGTAGAAAATTAAGAATATGAACATCAATATTAGAATTATAGCATAATACCTAATACCTCTGCATTAGTTTGTACAGATTGGAGATTAAGACAGAAGTAAAACAAGTAAATGTCTATTATTTAGGATCAGTTCACATTTTAGTGAATAGAGTGTGGTCCTCTTTGTAATGGCTCAGTGTGTCAGGCTCTGTATTCATTGCTTTCTTCACCTGGGCTTCAGTTTAAACACTCGGGTCTTTTCCTAGCCCCTTCTGTCTGCGTTGCTTTCTCAGTCTGAGATGAATAAAATAATATGCGTCAAATGTGACGAGTTAAGACTTTATTGTAATAGCAGTGTCTCGCTTATGTTAGCCCTCAGTCTCTTTATTGAGCGTATTGCATATGCAGCATAATCTTAGACGCAGGTGAAGGGGCTGATGTTCTTACAACCATCTCGGAAACAGGAAATGTCTTTGGACTCCTCTCTGCGAATGAAAGGTATGCAGTTAATCACTGTCTACAATAAATATAACCTTTTACCAGCAGCTGTAGTAAATGGGGGGAAAAAAAATCCAGAAACTGAGCCAGCTCTTCATTACTAAATATCATTAATCCAAATTGAATTGAATGTTTTACAACAAAGTAATCTCATATAATCCCATACGATTAATATATTTTTAGAATTAATATCAGTTCAGGTGTCTTTGAACATTTGTATTGGCAACAAATGGCCAAAGGAATAATTGGATATACTAGTGAAAACAAATGTGGGTGCTGTCGGAGTGGAAAGTGTCATGTTTATGCAGTTGGCGAAGATAGGAAATATTTTATATCTGAAGTTCAGATTGAGATCTCACAGCATTGAGGAAGTACCTGGGCCTCAGTGTGTTGGGTGTGGTATACACTCCTTTAAAATGGATCACCAGTAAGGGTTTTGAAAAAAAAAAACAAGAAGAATTTGACTTCTGCTTATTTACAGAACTTGAGAATAATATAGAGGTGTAAAACTAAACAAACCACTTTTTTGAATAAAATGTTTATTAAACGATACAAGAATATTATAGTTTTTGTTTCAAAATCAGTGATTTCCAATTCTCATTTTATTTTCAGCTTACTGGATAAAGCAGTTAGAAAATGGATGGAGTTTATTTTTTAGCTCATACTATGGAACAGGTCTGTGATATATTGATTTTAAAAGTAGCTGGTTTTCAACTTTTGAAATGGCTGGGAAGCATCAGGTCTGCGTGCTTTGTGTAAATGCAAGAACAGAATTACATTTTCCAAGGTGATTAAATTGCAGTAAACCAAGGCCAATGAAAGCAGTTCCTTTAAAACTAGAAGTAGTTTCTAAAAAGCTAAGAGAAATTAAGATGTGTTGCAGAAATTTACAATATTGGAACTTTTATATGCCACTTAAAGCTACAGTACCTAGGCGGGTTGTGCCATTTGTGAGTGCTACATTGTAAATGAAATATCCAAGGCACTCATGAAACTATGAAAAATTATTTACTATGGGAATCCATCCATCATTTATCAGAATGTCTCTTATTTCTGGTAAGCAAAGCAGAAAGAACAAATCTGTACAAACCTGTCCCAGAAACTCAGGACACAAGGCATGTCTCCACCCTGTATGGGTTGCCAGCCCATTACTGTGTAGAATGGAAAAATAAAATCAATTTTATTACTTTACAGAAGCAAAAATGGTGTGGCAAATATCACTGCTGCCTACTAGGTCCATGTTTCAATTATGTCCTTGGTGGTGGTGGGGGGGGTCTGTTTTTGTGGAGTCTGCACGTTCTTCCCAGGGGCATATGGATTTTCTCTTTGCACTGCCACGCAGTTCAGAGACCTGCAGGTTAGGTGTGCTGGCTGCTCTAAATTGTCTCCTTAATGTTTTGAGTTCAATCTGAGTGGAAATGGGTTTTAGTTTCCAGCAAGGGTTCCTAATTCTGGCCCTGGAGATCCCACACGCCTGCTGGTTTCTTCCATCCACGTTTCCTGTTGAAACACGTGAACGCGTTATTTACTTAATAGGATTAGTTCATACGTTTTAAATACTTAAATATGTTGGTTACCTTTTTACTTTTGTGTATTATTGCATACTATTTCGTAAGTAACTTAAAATTCCAAACTTTTTTTGAATTGAAAAACTTGAAAATGTTCCAATCAAGCAACTTGTTAGTTCAATTAAGACTTCAATTAAGTAATTAAGCTCAGCTGAAATGAAAGCCAGGACCTGCAGAATCAGTACTGGGAACCTCTAGTCTACAGTGTTTTGAGATGTTACTGTATGCTAAAAAGATGATTTTACAGAAATACCATAATTTGTGATGAAATATTAATAATATTAATTTATGCAATTTGTTTTTTAAAGATACTTTTGCTAAATGACTTGATTTATCAGGGCATAGTTAAGATGTAGTTAAAACTCAATCTTACTGGAATACATAATGAGGCAGGGGCATGTGAATAAGCTAGACTAGGTTTGGCCACAAGGTTTCATGTTTTTTCAGGAGTTCTGTTCTCTGCCAAAATGTTATAAAAAGCTCTTATCAATAGTGTCAAAGTCTTTGTCTTTGTATTTATCAGGTACCAAGTATTTAACTAATGTGAACATTTACGTTTGTTAACAATTTGTGCACTTTGTTAATTGGAGAACTTTTTATTGAGGAGAAAATATGTTACAAAGCATCTGTGTGAGCTGCAAATGGTAAACTTGCAATTAACTTTTTGTGCATTCTGCAAATATATGTCGTTTTTGTTTTACAGAGTTAATTTCTTTTGCTTTTTGTTAATATATTAATGTTCCTTACTGAAATGTATCTTTCAGTTTTTTAAAAAATAATTAAATGATTAAGCTAACACCTAAATAAAGCTTTTGCAAAATCTGCTGTATGTTAATTTAGGTAGGTTTCAGTCTGTGTCTTAAAAATGTGTTCTATCTCAGGCTTTGCTTTATCGATCCAGGTAACAACAAAGGGACTTAATTCTTGCACTATTCTGTCTTTGTTCTATTCAACCAATTTAGAAAAACTGGTCTGTATTAGAGTATTTAAAATGTTTTGGTCTGTTGACACTTGATGTTGATTAAATTAAAATGACATTGATGTTCTGTGTCTTTGTTTATTTTCTATATAGCAGGGGATATCAAAACCCTACCAATTACATTTCAATATTAATCTATACAATGTAGGAGAATATCAGGCAGAAAGGTGAGTAAATATCCTTCATATAATGTGTATAGCTGTAGAAGGATGCTAATATCACTGACATTGCATTGTGGATTTAAAACCTGTGTTGTTAACCCATATGTAAGTTAATACATCTACTAAGCATCTGTATCATTGATGCTTTTTATCAAGAGGTGTATTTTACCAGATTTTTTTTACTCCTAGTGTGCCAGAAAATTGAATTTAATCCTCAGTATGTTGACTCTCATTGTACAGTAGTAGGCCAGATCAAATTAAGTATGTGCAGTACAATGTGTCCCTGAATGTAATCCAGCACAGCCTGACACTGATTGTTAAAGTGGGTGACAATGAGTGGTGTCACACAAGATTATTCCCTTTTAAAAACAACGACTGCAGCTATTTGCAATTAATTTGCAATCCCATTGTCATGTTTTCCCTGCAACTGTGTTGCTAAACAGGTTGAGAAACCTGTTGTGGGCGCCTATAGCCAGCAGCGTTTGGTAAAAATACTTTATTCAAATATAACAGTTTTATGCAATAGTTTGGACTCAATTGCATGTTTTGTTTATTTTCTAAGCGAAAAGAAGTTAACAACCTCTGCAGCGAACACACTTAAACTTGATGTATTTCTGCAAATTTTAATGCACAGTTACTATTTATTTGCTGAATTTAACAGATTGAAAAAAATAAAATATTAGATGTGGCATGTACAAAATTTGGGCACCTTTCCAGTTGATCCGCTAGTGTTATTTTTTTTTAAGGTCCCAGAACTTACTTGACTCGTTGGGCCTTAGTCTAAGTCAGGTGATGACAATTCCAGAGCTCAATAAATTCTCTGACTCTTCGAACCTCTCAGGGTGTTGTGCTTACACTCGACAAGCATGGGCTCTTCTAAGCAGCTGACTGAGGATCAGAAAATAAAGATAATTGACTCTTACAAAGCAGGGGAAGGCTGAAAAAATATCTAAACGATTCCTGCTTTGAATTTCCACTGTCTGAAATGTCATCAAGAAATGGAGGTTAAGGGGAACTGTTGAAGTCAAGACAAGATCTGGAAAACCAAAAAAAATCTCCGATAGAACTGCTTGTAGACTGGTCAATTTGCAGAAATATGTCAAGTTTAAGTTTGTTCGCTGCAGAGGTTGTTAACTTCTTTTCACTTAGAAAATCAACAAACCAGGTAATTCGGCCAGGTGTGCCCAAACTTTTGCATACAACTGTACCTGATTAATTTAATTGTCCTGCAGCTCCCTCTTGTGGTCAGCTGCAACGGTCGTTCTAGTATTGTCATTTGCGTCTATGCTGAAACTGATCGACTGCTCATTAATTATTCTTCCTGTTTATGATATTGATATAAGGTAAAAATACCTAGAAATTCTACTTCTCTTTTGAGGTTTTTAGTATAGTGGTGCAACAAGATGTTTAAGCCTGTGCTAGAGAACTGCACTGTGAGAACACTACGATCACAAACAACCTCCTTGAGACAGTGGAATTTAGAGTTTATTCTGATTAAGCTCTTAAAAATACTTCTTTCAACTGTTGCAAAAGGGGAGCAGGTTATGTTTGACTTGTAAAAGGAAGGATGTTGCTTCACATCAGCAGTGATCCTGCAATCTTACTCTTCAAAGTGTATGATGACGTTGTGTTTAAAAATGTAGAAACATTGAGACATTTGAGACATTATGCTTCTTAAATTTCAAATCTCTATTGGTGACCTTATCTTTTCAAAGTACTGTTATCACATTAATACTTCTTATCATAAGGGAATGTACCGTCTTGTTTTTTAAGACAACATGAGGAGGGAGTTTAATTTTGCTCCCCAAGATGGACCACACTGGAGTTTTCATTTCCAGCAGACTTCACAATCATAGCTTTCTCACTTTTGATGTTTAATTTAGCATTATGAATAAAGGCTGGCATTGCTTAGTTTTGTTTTGTAAATGTAAAAAAGAAATCATGCAGTCCTGGAAAGTTTTTGGCCAAAATCTTACGGAAGACACTGGGCTAGGCTTGTTCTTTGTCATTCTTTTATGCAATCCCAGGCTATTTTTTAAATGGCATTCTAATTCTTAAAAATCTTATTTCTCCTTATATAGCTGACCATTTTCAGATACACTATTTTCAAAATAATTGCTGCAAGTGTGTTGATTCATTTTCTGAATATTAATGGTTCCCCCATTCAGTGAAGTAAATATGCAGTTCTATGATTTCACAAAAGCTTTGATTTGACTTAATTTGCATAATTTGAAATATAGGCTAATAGGCAGTTTTAAAACCTTATTTTCTTAAGACAAACTCATCACATTCAGGCCAGTATGATGATTCTATTCTATTTACCACCTTTCAAGTCAACACATTTTAGTGTTTTATAGTTGAGGTAACAAATGAACATTACATGAGTAGTAAGATCATGTTAAAACAGAAAAATCTGGTTCTCTGTTTGAAAAGTGATAGCCTGTTAAATGTCTTTTTAAATGATTGTTAAAGACAAATGGAGAAGGCGAGACTTGTATAGTCTCTGGCAGTGTGTTACACAGTTTAGGCACATTACTGTAGAAATCCTATCTCTCACTCTACAGTGCTTTGCCAATGAGGCACGTGGCAATCTGGAATCTGGCTTGAAAAAGTGTGATATTCATGTAAAGACTTTTAATAGTGCTCTTAGAAATACCAGGTGTCCAAACTAGAGAAAATGAAGACTTCTGATTGAGTTTTTCAGTATCTGATTGGTGTAATGTATCTACACTATACACAATGTTGCATCTATTCAGTAACTGACTTTATTCTGTTACAGCCTTCACTTACTATACTCCCTACCGTAACCCAAGAGGGTAATTTGTGTTAACGCATATCCTTACAATTGGGACAGACTACACTGTAAAACAGAAATATTGCACAGGTGAAAGGACACCCTTGCAATTTTTTTCAGGCTTATGAAATGATGCAAATACCACAATTTCTCCACTGGATAGCTAGCATAATCAAAGCCTTTGTGAGTTGCAGGGAGATAATGCTGTTGGCTTTTACTAAAATATTAGTGCACCTGCTCAAAAAAAGATTTTATCATAGTCTTATTAATGATTTTGTGAATTTCCTCTAAGAGTAATTGGTGTTTCTTTTGTTGTTTGTTGTAACTGCAATTACATGTTCAAGTGGCTGCAAATTAAGTGCACTTTTAATGGACAGAGTCTGCAGACAAAATGTTCTAGTGGGGCAAAGAAGCATGTTAGCAAATGGAAATGAATTAACTGAACTGGTGATGGAACTGTCTTCTGAAGAAAATGTAAATGTGTCAGTTTTGTGTATCAAATACTTGATACGGTACATTGAAAAAGAAGAACATATTTAAATGAGATTATACAGTATTTAGGCATGTATGTTAACTAGACATAGACATTCTGTAATTTCTGAATGCAGTTGGAATTTATATTTGCCAATATATATATAGTGTACGCTCTTCATTGTGTGATACCAGACAGATAAACTGTGTCCCCATGGTTTATGAAAATCTAATCTATTTATAGTTGACCAGAAAAAACACAAATAATTATTGGCACTTTTAAGAGACAGTTCTGTACTTTTCAGCTTTGAGAAGTTTATCCTACAAATGCTGCTTTGTGTGTGAAACATCTTGAGAAAGGCAAGCTGAAAATATGATTGTCTTTGATTTTTCTGTTCAAGGAAGTTATTGTATAGTTCATCAGAGTGGAAAAGCACATCTTTACACTTTAGAGCTTGTAATTCTCGGTTTTTTAAACCTGACTGCAAAATGCTTGATTTGCAGCAGCAAAACACTTGCCATAATAAAAGGATGCAGCAGTACTGGATGTTTAATTTTATTTTTTAATTATTTCAATTCCCTGGATGTCAGTTTTTCCCTTTCTTTGAATTGAGCACATTTTGCTACAGTGCACCATCTGTTGCCAAAATGTGGATAAACAGAAGCAGACGGATTTGTATAAATAAGAATGTGAACTGAGACACTGCAGCCCCAGCTCTGGCTGGAATGAAGTGAGCTCCAGCTGCTTAATGCTGAACAATAACACAGTCATTTTCTGTGTTCCACATAGCAAACGTTTTAGGTATCTTAAGTGTTGCTTTTATAACAGATTTTTTTTTCTTTTTTTCATTTAATAATTAGCAAAAATGTTATAAGCCAGATTTGTTATACCTTCCTCGTGAGTGTCTTAATGACTTTGGGTTCCCATTAAAATGCTTACAAATGACAGCGGGGTATTCAGCGTATCAAGACCATTTTGATATTTAGTAGCTTACAACTGATCTGAGAACTTTCCTTTGAAATGTGTATAATATTACAGGATGGATTGCAAGAGTTAGATTGGCCAAATAAATACTATGCACTTGAAGACATCAAAGAAAAGCACTATATTTTTCAGGTTTAAGTTGTTGGTCGTTTTATAAAAAAATAATTACTATTCCATTGAGAGAAAAAAAACACTAAAAAGACTTGCTGAGCGTGGCTCATAAAGTTGTTGTACAGCAGCAGTTTGACCAGGAAGCGAAGTATCTTGTCAATGTTTGGACAATGTTTTCATGGGGTTTTGAATCTGACAGGATCACAGCAACAGACAATACCTCTGCATGCATCTGCAACATCCTACGTTTCCTAGTCAATTCTAGTCAAGTGTTTTCCTTCAAGTGTACAATATACTATTATGGACATACTGTAATCTGCATCCTACATTGCAGAGTTTTAATTTTTTCATGAAAGATGGTTCTGACAGTAAACACTGAACTGGATAGGTCCAGCTCTTTTCCATGAATCACAGAAGCTCCCAGAGTTTCCTCAGCTTGCCATACAACGTTTACCTTCATGGTATGCTGCTTGCCCATATTCTTGTCATGTTAAGACAGACGACTGCATCAGTCCTCTGTCTGAGGAGTTATCTCAGCTCTTGGTACTGTGGGCCAGCCTTGTGAAAATCACAGCCGACAGCCTGACTTTCTTGTTAGGGAAGGCCCACTCATACCATCATGGTATTTTTGCTTCTCCAGTGTAGAGCAAGGGAGTATTGTGGCATGACTCACAAATGGCATCACTAAATGGGGAGACAGAGGAGCTGTCATGAAAGAAAAAATAAACATTTTTATTACTTTGAAGACATAAAGGTGACACTAAATCTTAACAAAGAAAGAGTGAAATGGGAAAACAAGAGATATCCAAACAGCACTGCGGAGGACTGGAACCAAAAAAGTTAGATAGACATGGCCAGGCTAAATCTCTTACCTTAGGCATTGGTGCTATTGTCAATTACAACTATAATTATCCCTTCCAATATGTAATTAATTTCTATTGCAATCAACAGACTTGCTTTCTAACACTTTTGCTGGTCAATGACTCTTATTTGAAGCATTGATCTGGAATTTCAGCTCCCATATAATAGACAACAGAGATATTGATTAGCTGTCTGTTTTTACAGAAATCAATATGTTTTCTAGGTTTGCTGGATTTCAATAATATTTTTTGGATTGCACACAACAGAGGAACACTTTGCTCAACATTTAGAGTCGATATGGCTAGAAAGCCTGGGGCTTGAAAGTATATATATATAAAATATATATATAACTCCAGCTCATTACACTCCTATTCACAATCAAGCATCTCTATGGGTTTTACCATCATGGCCAAAATGTACCAGAATACCTTTGATGGAGGAGAGAACTGTCACTCTTCACCAGTCCAGTCTTCCAATGAGACATTAAATCAAGGTTCTGGCTACTTGTTCATTCCTTGGCACTGTTTGTACAAATAAGGTTAAATACACTGTTAAAATACACTCTGGCCTTCCTTCAATGGCAGGTGTGTAACGGCTTCTGTCAATGTGCTGCACTTCAGTGGTGGATGAAGCGGGTGTCTTCTTCTATTCTAAGCACTTTGAGATCCTTTGCGATGAAAAGCTACAGGATGTAAAAAAAAATATTATTACTATTATTACTACTCTTCAGTAATTAAGAGCTAGAAACACTCTATAAGGATAATTAGTATAAGTTATGGATTTAAAGGGAAATGTGTTGTTCCAATTACAGGGCTACAATCATTAAATAAAATTCAATTTAGTATAAATCCATGAAGATGACGTTGTTTAAAAAAGAGAACATTTGAATTGATTGTCTCTAGTCAGGCAAACCATGATATTACAAAAATACCAAAAATATTCATTTTTATATATAGTCCAGCTACTGTACTAGCTGAGGACAGTCTGTGAGAAGTCTAGAAAAGGGTACTTAAGCACTTTCTTCATTGTCATTCCATTAACAGGCCTCCTATGTGATATGGAAAATGCAGGCGCTAAATTCAGACTGTACACTAGATGGCAGTGTTAGGTCATGCTGGTGAGCGATGCATGTTCAGCGCTGCAGTGTCAAAACGGAGATCTGAGCTGAGCAGCAAGAAGACAAACCTGGCAGCCCCTTAGCCACCTGCGTGGCCATCTGCAAAAGGGCTCTGCCAGCTGTTTTGTGCGGACTCCCTCTCCTTCCTCACTTCCACTCAGTCCATCCGTCTGTCTAACCAAACAAAACAAAAGTTACATCGCCTGCTCCCTTGTCTTGGTGCCGTTAGCTCAGCTAAAAGAGTCAAGGCACCTTGAGCCAAGCAACAGACATTGTTGAATAATCATCCTATTATTATGCAATACACAATGTCCTGTGAGTTCATGACACTTTCTCAGTAGAACATTGCATCATTGCATTATGAGAATGTTTCAGAATACTTGTGATCAAGCTTATAATGACTAGTGTTGGACAATAAAACCGGGTGGAATGCAGGTTTGTAACCCAGGACAACTCAGAGCCATTAGCAGATACTGTGTAGGCAATATAATATGTTATGTGTGGAGTCTGAACTTAAGAAGAAAATGTAATGCAGCAGGTAGTTACTGTTAAAACTACATCTGTAAAGTACAGTATACTCTATCTAGGCATCACTAGAATGTTTAAGTGCTTTTGAGAAGCCTTTAGGAACCATAATCTGGTCTTCAGCTTGTTCTGGAAGTACAGTAGATTTTTGTCTTTTATTTCTGTGGAAAAGCCTTCCTGTGAAGGAGAACAATGTTACCAAATTACCATTTTTAATTTGTTTGGTTTGATCGTGATTTTCACGTTTTTGGTATTCTTTGCAAAAGCTGCCAAACCAATATACGAATATACTGTAGAAATTAAGTTATAAGGTTTCTAGAAAGACAATGAATATACAAATAATAATGAACCTGTAGGTGCATTGAGTTGAAATACAGTATAGATCCCCATAGTGCCAGAAGACATTCTGTAGGCAAAAAAACCCAACAAAGATAGATTTTCAGTTCAAAACACCATAAAATAGTTTTATAAAATCAATATTTAATGTAACTCTAATGTGTATGTGCTAATGAACCACAAGCTTTATTACAAGATTCAATACTGGAAAGAGAGCAATGATGCTTGACTTTTGTTACTTTTCAAGATGCATTTTTTTATGACTTCATGAAAATTAATTTCAAAGTGTTACCTTTTCTGTTCACGTTTGCTGGAGTTTTCTCTTAAGTGCATAGGACTTACTTAGAACGCCCCTGGGCGGAAAGCCCTGTCTCGCTTCACAACACTTTCTGCTGTCAGTGTACGCTGGGCTGCTCTGTAACTGATTCCCACTCCCGTGACACACATCCAGCAGTGGATATCTGTTCTTTTGCAGCTAACGTTTCTGTGCCTGCTGCTTCTGGCAGTTCATCTGCATGTTTCTACATTATGGGGGCCCTGTTTGTGTCTGGAAATGCTGTTCGCTATTCTTGTATGTCGTTTTGTCAAATAGATTTCCTGTCATGCCGGTGAGGAGAGCCTCCCTGAATACTCTTTTAAAGGATCTTCATTATTGCCTGTTTGCATTCAGCAGAGTTTGAATGAGCAGCCTTTCGAGGTTGGATTTCTGCTTCTGAAATGACAATATATCACATATGCATGATTTAACTGCGTTCTTCTGTCAGCATTCATGATATAAATAAACATCCATCCACACATGCAAGTAGGTAACCATTATGACCATCTTTATGTAGAAGATAGGGCTAAGCCTTTGCCATAAATTACTGCATTAATGGTTAGACAATCGGGGAGTCTAAATGTTTATACTAAGGTCTACTAAGGTCCTTAATTCAGAAGTTCATGCTACCAGTGTAGACTTTTGTAACATCAATACCATGATTAAAGACCTCACAAGAATATGATACACAAGAAAACATTAAAGGCACTCCCCAACTTGCATCCATCTGATTTATGTTAAACCCATCCCATGTAAAATGTTGTGTGTGGCCTCAGTCTTGGGCCAGATTGCCTTGAATGTGTATTATCTCCTAGATTTACATTGTCTGGAATAATTTCTGCTGTATGTTTCTGGTATTTTTATTCTTAATAATAAAGATAATAATACATTTTAGGTGTGAATGTGCCATTTGAGAACATAACTGTCAGCTTACATAATATTGTGTGGAACATAACTCTTTTGTTAACTCAAGGAGTATCTGTATACATAATCGCATTAGACTGGTACACAGGTCACAGATTTTCAAACAAGATGAGGCCATTTGGCCCACTTAGCCAATTTTGTATGGGCTATGATAAATTCTAACAAATTAATGTTGTTTCTTTAAGGAGGACAGGGTATTGGTTTCAGCAACATGGCTGGGCAGCTTGTTCTACAGTTCCACAACGCAATAGTTGAAAAAGTGCATTTTGAACGCTTGTTTCCGATACACATTTATTAGGGGGGAAGGGTAAGAGCAAGTTAATAAATACAAGAATGAATGTTGTGAACTATCACACTGGCCAGTGGGGCCGTTCTTTTGTAACGTCTTTAGTATAGATATGACATACAGTATTCAATGAATAACTCTGTTGGCTCACAGTAGTACTATAGGCTCCCTGTACCTTCTTCCTAAGGTACTGTAAGTTACTTTTGACTTGTGCAGAGGTCTGGATTATTTTCATGACAAAACTGATCATTCCACTTCTGTTGAGAGATTTTTGTGCGAGAAGATATGTACGATTACATATCCCAATAAACAGCGATCTATTTATTAGTATCATCACATTGTACTTTCCGGTGAATTTTGGATTTCCAGTCAAGGAAATGCAAGAGGAAGATATTCCCAAATTCCTGTCAATCACCGGTTCACTGGGATATAAATATGGGAGACTAGTAGAGCATCCTCTCCCAGCTTTCATCACGATTATAGCCCTTCGTACTGCCAATGAGTCAATCCTTTAATTTACTGTAGAGGGGTGCTTACTACTGTACCTCAGTCATGCAACCAGGCTGGAGTCCTTGGGACCAAATGTGTTAAAACCAAACATTATTTAATGCTCCTTGGATGCTCCTTGTATTTACCTTAATTGTATGAAGGTTTGTCTGCAATCACTGTAACTGTACTGTACAGTATATACTGTATACAACAACAAATTGAGACTTTTTAAAACTTTGAACTTTCAAAATATTTTTTTTATAGATTCTACAATGCAGACCTAGAGCAAAAGCAAAAAAAAAATATTAATAAAACATCTGCCCCATGGCATGTGTGGTGTGTGAATCTGTTTCATTGATTTTATCTCAAAGTATTTTAATTCATTGTCAACAACCGCTAAATGAAAAATATTAATAGCAGCTAATTGATGAGATTACTAATAGGGGATCATTTAGATGTGCAATTCAATATACTGCAGTGTACATTTGGCACTGATCAGATGGTTGGTGACTCGTTAGTAGAACTCTCTTTACTGGCAATCTGATGGTCATTGAATTCATTTAAATTAAGATTGATGCCAGCTGGGATTTCAGATGTCGTTAACTAAATAGAGAGAAGCAGCTATCACATGCTTTGTCTATTACATCATTTCAAGTGATGGAAACCGCTATGGGGGATCTTGAAATCTTGCTTTAAAAAACCCATCTGTGGCCATGGTAGGCATAAAACAAATGAGAGGAGGACAGTCAGCACAACTAGGTCCTTTTGGTGGTATGGAGGATTGCACTTTGTACCAGAAGCTCCTAAAACAATATTGTAAAGACTACTTTATTACTTTAATCATTAGCATATCCTTTTTAATAATAACAATCATTATAATAATGACTTAAGTGACATAATTCAATTCATTAAGAACACAAGAACAGTTAGTGTACAAAATAGAAAAGGTCCTCTGAGCCATGCAGCATGTAAGAAGGGCAACGAGAGAGGTCCCGGGACTTGATCCTGGGTCAACTCCCACTTAAACCATCAAGTTTGACCTTCCCATTGATCTTGGCAAGATGTCATGTTTGGCAAAGTCCGAAACATTGTTCTCTTGTTAAGCAGTGCATGCTTATCTCCTTCTCTGTTTTTCTGTCTTGATTGTCACGAGGCATGACATGTGGCAGATTAAATCACTTCCTGTATCACAATCAACTCTCTCACTAATGAGGTACTTGTTTGTATTGCTACATCTCCACCTTCACCATTACTGTCTGTTACTGTCGCTAGTAAGTTTCAGTGGTTCCAATTACATCATAATTGCATGCTAGTCCAGTAGTTATTATTTATTCCATTTAGCTCATTAATTTGGAATTTAGAATATTTTAATGTTTTAGTATTTTGAATTAGCATAATCAACATCAGAATTAATTCTCAACTACTCTGTTTTCAAAGACAGTTTTCCGAACTCATACATCAGAAAGACTACAGAAACCAAAATTATCCTGCAGCTAGGATCACACCTTCCCCCTTCTCTTAACGACAGACTGCTTTTCTTCTAAATTCTCTCAATTCATTGTTTCATTTCACACTTCTCTACACCTGTTCTGACTTCACACCTCTTGACTGGCCTCTCTTTCTGTCCCTTGCTCCCGCCTCTCACTCCTCCTCTCTCCCAGCCTTTGTTCTCCCGCTACATTACCTTTGCCTACTGCCTTGTCTTTCTCACACCTGAAGAAGGCTCCACGGCTGAAACATTGTGTTT